TGTCTGTGTGTGTCTGTCTTTTATGCATTACTACACCTTTCATCCGATCGCCATGAAACTTTGGAGGAGCTGATTAGAACACTCCAGGTGAGGTTTCTGCTAAAAAAAAATTTTTTTTTAATTTCGCAAAGGCGGCGCCCCGGGAGGGTGCGGTATGTTAAAAAAATATTTAAGTCGGATGCGGTTCGACACCGTTCACCGGAGTGCCATGAAACTTTGGGGAGTTGATGAGAGTACTTACTAAATGGTTTCTGCGGGAAAAAATTCAATATTGCACGGGCGGCCCCCGGCAGGATGCAATTTGGCGCCCCGGGCTATCCCTTGAGCGCTATGGCGCCTAAGTTCGTTTTAAACAGTGCGATAGACTTTGTATATAATGGGGCATTATAGTCATTCACTAAATTGAATCAGGCGAGCCCGCCGGCGCCCCGACAGGGTGCTATTTAGCTCTCTGGGTTATCCCGTGAACACTATGGCGCCTACGTTATTTTTTATGGGTGTACTCGGCGACCCTGCCGTAGTAGGCGCCCCACCTGGGCGGTCACCGAAGTATGTTCTACCTCACTATTACGGTGAGTGATTAACGTACATTCAAGGCTTTCATGCGGTAGGTAAACCCGTGCCCCGATAAATATGATCCAAGCGCTGGCATTGTTTACATTTAAATAACTCAGTTTTAGAAAACAAGGTCACACGTCTAAGAATATAGGATTGGCAACGCATTGATGAAACCCTTCTTATATATTTAGCTAGTTTCTTAAAAACATTAAATGCTGTCACCGCTCAACTGCCTAGACTCAGGGACCGATTTATTTATCAATGACTTCTATCACAACAGAAGGAGGCGAAGAAAATTCTGTCGCAGAAACAAAAGTGATTTGAAGAACAGTTTCTTGATTTCCCTTCATGGTGTTGGAACAAAAAATTTAGCAGACAATGACAAAAGCACGTCGTAGTGGTCGCGCCAGTGAAGGTAACATATTTTAGCCTCGATATGACACGACATTGCCAGATAATTGTTCACGCCAACAGCCATTATAGTGTAGTGTAAGAGTCGCTGTACAGGCGGTGTCCAGTCACGCCAGCTCCAACATTCAGTCAAGACGTGAGGTGAGCGAAAAACTTGGATTCGTCAAGCTGGGTGTACACCGGCACATGACGTCACGGCCTAGTTTCATGAGAGGGCGCAGTGGCTGCTCATTGTGTTAATCATGTCAGGGGTGGCTCGTTTTATCTAGTCAAGTCAGGGGTGGCTCAATGGTCTAGTAAGACATGTCAGGGGTGGCTCAATGGTCTAGTAAGACATGTCAGGGGTGGCTCAATGGTCTAGTAAGACATGTCAGGGGTGGCTCAATGGTCTAGTAAGACATGTCATGGGTGCCCGAACGAAATGAAATGTATATAATTTATATAGAAAATATATACTTTTAACAGTGGCCGCCCCCCCGAAGAAAGTTTACCGCTCCCCCGAAAATTTCAAGTGCCCCCCGGAGAAAAAAGTCTGGAAGAAACACTGTGCCTGAATGGTCTAGATCAGGGGTCTCCAAACTTTTCAGTCCGAGGGCCGCATTAACTATAAAAATTCAGTTCGGGGGCCAGTTTATGTCTTTGATTTTTCTGGGCAAAGATCCTCAGCCATCACCAACAAACATTTATTCCGTGGACAAAAAGATCTCCGCGGGCCGGATGAGACGACCTCGCGGGCCGCATCCGGCCCGCGGGCCGTAGTTTGGAGACCCCTGGTCTAGATTGTTGTGATTCATCGGTGTGTTCCCACACACCTCTGTTTGTGTCACCTGACCTATATTGTCTACATCCGGGTTGTTTGCACTACAAAACAAACCTCTCGGGCCGTCAGCTGTTGTGTTGGTATCCTTAAGTTTATCATTGACGTCTGCACTAAATAGGCTTCAATCTAATGTTGACTTTTTAAAATATCTCTTATATAGAGAAGCCTTTATTTTAAAATATCTCTTATATAGAGAAGCCTTTATTTTATTTCACTCCATTATCTTTAGGTGCTTTCATGACACGCCATTAAACAGCTTAAAAATTTAGGTTGTTAAGTGATGGGGTTGTCAGTCTACAAGTGATGGGGTTGTCAGTCACTCTCAAGTGATGGGGTTGTCAGTCTACAAGTGATGGGGTTGTCAGTCTACAAGTGATGGGGTTGTCAGTCTACAAGTGATGGGGTTGTCAGTCTACAAGTGATGGGGTTGTCAGTCACTCTCAAGTGATGGGGTTGTCAGTCTACAAGTGATGGGGTTGTCAGTCTACAAGTGATGGGGTTGTCAGTCTACAAGTGATGGGGTTGTCAGTCACTCTCAAGTGATGGGGTTGTCAGTCTACAAGTGATGGGGTTGTCAGTCACTCTCAAGTGATGGGGTTGTCAGTCTACAAGTGATGGGGTTGTCAGTCTACAAGTGATGGGGTTGTCACTGAAAAGATGTCTACATGACAAATGTCATCAAGAGTTTAGCACGAATTATGTTACACAGAAATCGTATGCATTATACAAGAATGAATTTCGTCATTGTTATATTTTAATATTGGACTATACTACTTATGACTATTGATATTCAACGGATTAAAACCTAAGAAAAACATGAAAAATAAATATAAATAAATAAAACGTTCGAATAACAAGCTTCCTAAATTTTACTAACTGTATTCAATAAATAATATGATGACCCACTCTTTTCTTTAGGTATTTAAATAGTACAGTATTATAATAGATTTACAGAAAATCATTTATTTTCTCCTTTTTACTGCATTGTAACATAAAAGCTTGTTATTAAAACGTTGTTTTGCATTTTTTACAAGCTTTAATTTAACTTGCCTCCTTTGTCTGTCGTGCTTCGTCCGTTATCGATCGAACGAAACTGTCGAGCGAAATTCGACCACTCCTAACCGACCAATTACTATGAAACTTGGTACGTGGGTCAAGACCCTATGCTAATGCAATCTGACATCACATTTAACTTAATTGGATGTTCAATTTATTTTTAAAGAATTAATTTAAAATTTCCTATACAAAGTCCTGTTTACCGCACTATTATATGCACATTTTTTATTCATTTAGTGCGCGATTGTTTCTGTCAAGCAATTCTATTGTATTAAAAATTTAAAAAATAAGTTTGAACCGAACAGAATTTCTTCCAGGAAAATTTTCTCGGGGGGGGGGGGGGGCCGAAAATTTTTTACCGCCCCCCCCCCCCCCCCCCGAACGAAATGAAATTTATATAATTTATATAGAAAATATATACTTTTAACAGTGTCCGCCCCCCCCCCCCCCGAAGAAAGTCTACCACCCCCCCCCCCCAAAAAGTTCAAGTGCCCCCCCCCCCCCCGGAGAAAAAAGTCTGGAAGAAACAGTGGAACCGAATCAGTCCGTTAGAGGTGGTTGAAATTTCGCTCGGCGGACGGCAGTTTCGATCCATTACGGACGAAGCACGCCATAGGAAGCGAGTTAAGTAAGAGCTTGCAATAATGATGTAGACTAAAACTGGCTAAAAGAGAACAAAATATCTGGCCAAAGACCGGAACAAGTGCTTCGATGTGTGAGCGTGTGGTGTGTGTGGTGGAAAATATCCACACGGTGAACGGGAAAAAAATCACAGATTTTGCTAGGAAAAAATCACAGATTTTGCTAGGAAAAAATCACAGATTTTGCTCGGAAAAAAGTCACCGAAAAAAGTTACAAAAGAAAAAAAAATTCGGAAAAAAAAGTCACAGCAATAAAGTCACAGAAAAAAGTCACAAAAATCTGTTAATAAATGTTTTGATTTTGATTGTTGAGAATTGAGAAATGTGGGTGCTTATTAATGTGGGGTTTTTTATAGCATATTTATAAACTTTATACGAATTGTGGTTTGTAACACTAATAAGTAAAAATGCTATAGCGTAATTTACACAGCAACCTCAACTTTTGTAATGAATTTAGTTAAATACGCTCTAGAAGTGTTAATTATAAACGAAATTTAGGCATATCATTGTTTTTTGCATGTTTTTTTTTTTTTTTTTGCTTGGTTGGCTTCTCCTCACTCGGCCTTGTCCGTCCATATTGTGTGATGTTGACGTTTTGCCTCAATGACAGCCTTTGTACCGTGTCTGTTTTCTATTTTTATCCTTTGCTTTGTTATGTAATGAGCGTGATAAATGTGGGCAGTACAGGTGGTTGGCTTATCGATGCAACGAGTTGAGGACAGCAAGTCACATAAACTTCGTGTTTATGCCATTCGCGCTAATTTAAAGTTAGTATTTAACAAACACAAAGAAAAAAAAGAAGGTTGGAACATTCAATTAAATTCTATTAAGTATTTATGTATAAAAAAATTAAAACGTAAATACTTCATACTATATATTTACGTGTGCTATAAATATCACTATATGTATACAACCTATGTACATTTGTGACATTTTCCTGTTTTTTTTTTCTGTTTTTCCCCCCTGTGTTTTTTGCCTGTGACTTTTTTTCCTACAATATCATTCACACAGCAGCAAGCAGACGAGACGGGAACATCCACACGTTCTAGACAAATCAAATATTCATCTCATGTAAAGTCACTTGTCAAATAGAGGCTCTGCGAAACGTGTAGCAGTCAACAAATGTTGACATGGAATGTGTAGCAGTCAACAAATGTTGACATGGAATGTGTAGCAGTCAACAAATGTTGACATAGAATGTGTAGTAGTCAACAAATGTTGACATGGAATGTGTAGCATTCAACAAAGTTGACATGGAATGTGTAGCAGTCAACACATGTTGACATAGAATTGTAGCAGTCAACAAATGTTGACATGAAATGTGTAGCAGTCAACAAATGTTGACATGAAATGTGTAGCAGTCAACAAATGTTGACATGAAATGTGTAGCAGTCAACAAATGTTGACATATAATGTAGTAGTCAACAAATGTTGACATGAAATGTGTAGTAGTCAACAAATGTTGACATATAATGTAGTAGTCAACAAATGTTGACATGGAATGTTTAACTTACCTTATCCACCTGCGAGAGAGACTTCTGTTCAGTCAAGCAGAGAAAAAAGACGGCCACAAAAGTTTGGAGAGAACAAGACGGTGAAGAGTTTGCAGGTGTTGTCGCCGCGTCGTCTGCCGGCTCGCTAGCTGTCACGTCTCGTCGTGTCCGCGCCTTGCATCGCAAGCCGTCTGCTTGCGACATTCAGCAAAAATTTACGTCTGTTGGAGATGTTCATTAAAGATTTGATTTTCAACCTCAGCCGTCACTTGATTTTTCTCACCATTCTGACCTTGTCTAGATCGTCCGTCCGTCCGTCCATCCGGGAACGGAAAAAAAGTCACAGCGCAGACATATATATTTTTTACGCAACAGCATGTGTTAGCTACTGTATAACATCACTACTGTAGTAGATCTTTCTGCTTTTACCGTCAAGTCAAAAATGCAAGAAAATTTTTTTTTTTAAACTATAAAAATTTATTATGGTCGGCTATGGGCCCCTAAATGGCATGCCCCCCCCCCCCGCATTGCGGGGTCTGGCGGCACTGTAGTTCCGCCCCTGAGTCCGCTCCGGGCGCCGGAATAGGTCGCTACGCCTCTGGTCAGAACAAGTAGGCCAACTAAATACTATAAATGACTATTCAGTCGTCACGACGAGGACTGTAACATAACATTTAAGCGAACAAACAGGCAATGCAAACAGATTACATGTCTGATGCATTTCATAAAAAAAAAAATGAAAATTTAATCAAATTGACCACGCTTAAGTATTGAGTATACAACATAGAAATCGCATTCAAGATTCTTTTATGAGCATTCCTAATTTACGTAATCAGTTTTAATGTTAGATCTAGATCTAGATGAGAAATAAAAATAAACGGTCCATACTACTCCATGGGGTAGATGAAGTAGATATATTTTATCTATTTTTGTAATTGTAACCTTGCCATTTGGGGGTATTCTGTGATAAAGTTTACGCCCTGTCTTGGATTTACCTAACATAAGCTATGTAACCATCGGGATGGGTGGGATCAGACACGCCGTACAGATCTGAATCCACGATCTGAACAGACTGAACTTGAAGCCTTTCGCGATCCCCAGCAGACGTGAGATCTCCGAGTTCTTCTTTTCAAGAGTTAAGAAACGGTTTGTTGAAAGATGGCGGGAGTCGAACAAGAACCCATGGACCTCGGAGAATCGAGTGGTTTTTCGTCTGAAAAACCAAAGGGTCAAATATCCGAACAGGATAGTAAAAAAGCAGGAAGCTATGAAACACCCTGGTTAATATAAATCCTTCATAGTATTTCATATAGAGATATCTAGATCTATATACATACAGTTATCATTTTTAATTTTAAATAGGTAGGCCTACAAAAAAGGGTAATCTATCGTTTTGGGTACGTAAAATCGCCAGCGATTTGTAATGTGAAAAACAGGTGACTCCTTAAATTTTAATAATTATTTTACATTTTGAGGAGGATTTATGTGTTAAAAAATTCAAAAATGTTTCCTTGATTCATTTATGTACCTGTTTTTAAACAATTGAATTAAAACTTTTCCGTAATAAATGAAGACTAGCGATGTTTCCAACAGATGCAATCATGCTCATTTACTATAGCAGCCATCTTGTCTAAGTTTTATTTTTATAAGCTTTTAGCGCCAGATTCAGGGGGAAGTCACTCTATTTTACAAATGGCTGCTGTTTATATAGCAAATCTTGCTCTCAGACACTGCTGTTTAAAGTTAATTTCTGGCCTATATCGATATATTTAGCCATTGATTTAGGTTTATTATTCATTTATCTATAATATTTGACACAAAAGTATGACAATATACTTCTATTAAAGTCTTGACAATGAGGTAACGTTTTCGTACATAAATAGCCGCGGGCGATTTTACGTACCCAAAACGATAGATTACCCAAAAAAGACAGCATCACTTCATTCAAGTTTTGAAGTTAGCATTCTAGCCTAGCGGAGCGGCTGCGATGCTCACTAACTTTTAAATTTCGTTATTTTTCGATTTAAACATTACCAATGAAAACTAGAGATCAATCTCAAGTTGGTATAAATTTCGAGCCGTCCATAGAGGATTTCATAGTGTCAGCCGACAACCAATCAAATGCGCCCTTTCTATGCAGTTTGGTTGGCGGCTGACGTCATGCAACGCGTTTTTGGAGCGAAAAAGGGCAGAAAAAGCCATTTTTTTTCTACGTTCTTTTGTCAACCGGCAAGAGAAAACTCATAGCACAGTGTGAGCAGGTGCTAAATCTAGTCCAAGTTCTTTGTTAGTCCAAGTTATAGACCTAAGTACTAAGTATTGTATAGCGAGGCTCACTAACTTGAAAGCGTCGCTGGTTGCTAAAACAACATGGCTACCACACCTTGGCCTACGTTTGGGCAATTTTTTTCTGCTGTGTTTGAGAGACCACCTTAACATTAACTTTAAAAATAATTATCACGCGAAAAACAGCGGTTTTTTTCACGTATTTTAAGCCATCTGAAGATGACAAAGCTATTTTTGCCAGAAAAAAAAAATTAAAATTTGCTTCCGACAATTTAGGTCAAACGTAAACATGGGTAAAGTTTTAATTGCTTAAAAACTTAAAATATCGGTCTCTAAGGTTCCAAAATTGCTCGCTAAGGTAGGGTATTATTGGATTGATCTGTTTCTGAATTAAAATTGTAAATTTACCGTCCTCATTTTGAGAAAACGGAATCACAAACATGTCACTAAAACAATATTTATTTTGTGAGGGACGTCATCGCTATTGATAAGGAAGCTGTACAGTAGTATCCTCTGTCGTTATATAATTGTTTTCTTTTCACTTGACACTCTTTTTCGGCCTATTTTGCTAGCGTTATTAGGCTAATTAAGCCCAATTATGGATATTTTACCTGGCTTTTGGATTATACTATGACTCTAAAAGCCCATAAATCAGAGCGATCTGTAATTTTTTTTTTTTATCCCTGGAATTAGTAGTGAGCGTTGGTCTTTGTGTGCTTATTGAGCCTTAATTATTTATTGTTAAAAAATTATTTAGGCCTATAGCTTAATTAATTTGTCTTAGGCCTAATTTTTATTGATTTCATAAATTTTAATTAGACTAACTATATTATTTTCACTGCTCTTTGTTGATACTTTTATTAGGCTTAATAATGTTTATATTATTAAGATTTTAGAGGCCTAATAAATTAACTGATTTTAGTGTTGGGTCTAGGTTTACATTACTAATTAGTACTTAGTAAACCAAGTACGCATGGACTAGGACATGTGTGTGCTGTGCCGGGGTTGTGGCGGGCGATGCCTCTCTCGCTGACAAACCAGCGCGAGCGAGCGAGTCGTGTGTCACACTTGGCCTGTGTCGATGTTTGGAATGCATAGGCATAGGCCTAATTCTCGCTCTCTGGTGATCAATTTTAATGCGCTGACATTTGAAAAATCAAATAGACACACATCTTAATTAAACACATTTAATTTGAAAACCATTTTTCTGACAACAAAACAGGAAGACAGCTAAGTAGGCTGTTTAAAATAGCTTAATTATAGGTTTAAATAATAATAAAAAAATATAACAACAAATTAAAAGACAGGAAACTATGAAAAAACAAAGTTGTGTCAGTTGATTCGATGAATTTGCCAGATGGTAAAAATCTATTTCCATTTTTTTTGTCTCTAAATCTAGTTGGGCTCTAAATTTGGTGTTTTTTTTTAACTTGTAATGTTTATACTTCATTTAAACGTCATTTTAAAAAAATATTTTTATCTAGGGTTGAGAAATACCGGCCAGCTAAGCTGCAAGATGTGGTGGGAAATGAAGAGACTGTAAGCAGATTGGCTGTTTTTGCTAAGGAAGGCAATGTTCCTAATGTCATTATTGCTGTAAGTTTAAATAGGGAAGGCAATGTTCCTAATGTCATTATTGCTGTAAGTTTAAATAGGGAAGGCAATGTTCCTAATGTCATTATTGCTGTAAGTTTAAATAGGGAAGGCAATGTTCCTAATGTCATTATTGCTGTAAGTTTAAATAGGGAAGGCAATGTTTCTTTAAGCTTGTAATTATTTTACTGAAAAAAAATTATTTTTTGCACTCAATTTTTTTCAGCACTCCTGCGACAAAATGACTCATATCTTTATGCTCATTGATGTAAAATCCACACATTACATTGATAAAAATTAATCGTAACTGAATGCCCCACACACTAATATACATTTTTAAGTCATTATTTATTTATTGAAGAAAGATAATTACTGGGTTTTAAAGAAGAAAAAATAGAGTTAATTTTTTTCATGCAAAAAAATACGCTTTTGTTGGAAAAATTAATGATAAGAATTATTTTTTACGAATTTTTATTTAATAGTAAACGAAAAAGTATGTTTATTTTACTACAAAATCATTTATCAGATTAGTATCATCATAAATACTTTAATTTCGGTTAATTTTATAACGTGGTGACATACATGTTTAGACGCAACTGAACGTCATTCCGCAATGTTAAAAAAAATATCGTTTTGCGAGTGGTTTTACACAATTTTTACCATAAAATACAAAATCGACCCAGCGAGAAAACTTCACAAGAAATAAATACAACAAAGAATGGCCCCTCTAGCATTATCATGACCTAGATTTACGTTTTAAAAGTAAAAAAAAATAACGAATTAAATAGAGACAATTTTATTGGGCGCTGGGAGCGTAGCTATGGTCTTAATGAGAATTATGAAGGCAATGTTCTTAATATCATAATTGTTTAAGTTAAAAAAAATGACCTATGCCCCTGAGACTTACACAAGTTCCCTCTCATTTGTTTTCTCCAGGGTCCCCCAGGTACAGGTAAAACCACCAGCATCTTGTGTCTGGCTCGAGCTCTGCTAGGACCTGCCTTTAAAGATGCAGTGCTAGAACTGAATGCATCCAATGACAGGTGGGAATTCTTGCTGGTGTGTAGCAGAGGCACTCTAAACTTGGTTTACCTATCTGGTTACACAAAGTATAGCATGATAGAGCATGTCTTAAGTTGGTTAGGGGCATCTGTAATATGTTTCTTAGTCCATATAGCTCTAATGGGTACTAAGCATCAGGGAAAGTAAAAGCTGCTCGAAATGTTGAAATATGAACTGAACTTTACCTGTGTTCTGAATTGATGTGTCCTTTAATATTAGAGGAATTAACATGTCCTTAAATGTTACAGAGGAATTAACATGTCCTTAAATGTTACAGAGGAATTAACATGTCCTTTAATATTAGAGGAATTAACATGTCCTTAAATGTTACAGAGGAATTAACATGTCCTTAAATGTTAGAAGAATTAACATGTCCTTTAACGTTAGAAGAATTGACATGTCCTTTAACGTTACAGAGGAATTGATGTGGTGAGAAACAGAATTAAGATGTTTGCCCAACAGAAAGTTACCTTACCCAAGGGCAGACATAAAATCATCATCTTGGATGAAGCTGACAGGTTAGTAGGTCTGCTCACACTCGCACACTTGTGTAGTGAACGGTTCCCCTGAGATGTAACTTTTATGGAACTCTGCCTTTTTCCATTATAGGAAAGTTGTTTGCACATTCATTTAGGGACTTTTATAAGCCCGGAAATGTGCAGAGACAAGTGCGGTCCTCATTATATTACATTTTTTCTCCTGAACTTGACTGACACTTTTGGCTACAGGTCACCATAACACAAACGACCTCTCACTTGTTTCTCATGGTCTCACTGACAGTGGGGCCTGCAACATGTGACTACGTGAAGACAATTTTTTAAGTTCTATGTGCACTCTTATTTAAATATGTAATTTCAGCATAGTTATTTTGAGCTAATTACTGAATTTAAAAAATTCCCAGTAGATAAAACATCAAAATAAAGTAGCTATAGGCGGAAAAACAAAGAGTGTGTGCAGTGTTGGTCAGGGTGCAGATAGGCAGGCCACACTATGATCTAGTAACACAATCTACTTTGAAATAAGTTTAATTTTTAAATTATTACTTTTGACACAACATTTAATTAAGAAAATTGCTGCTGACACTCTTCTAGAAACACACTCACACACACCCCGGCTTATTTTAATATGTGGGCGGTTACATCTCTGGGTCCCACCCACTCCTGTCTGCCCACACACTGTCTGCCCACACACTGTCTGCCCACAAACTCCTGTCTGCCCACACACTGTCTGCCCACGCACTCCTGTCTGCCCACGCACTCCTGTCTACTCACGCACTGTCTGCCCACACACTGTCTGCCCACACACTCTGGTCTGCCCACACACTCCTGTCTGCCCACACACTCCTGTCTGCCCACACACTGTCTGCCCATGCACTCCTGTCTGCCCACACACTGTCTGCCCATGCACTCCTATCTGCCCACACACTCTGGTCTGCCCACACACTGTCTGCCCACACACTCCTGTCTGCTCACGCACTCCTGTCTGCCCACACACTGTTTGCCCACACACTCCGGTCTGCCCACACACTCCTGTCTGCTCACACACTGTCTGCCCACACACTGTCTGCCCACCCACTCCTGTCTGCCCACACAAGTTGTAAAACATTGTATTTTGAATTGTGTCACCAGTAACATGTAGTTTTTGGAAAATAATTTTTTTTGTACCCATAATTAATATTGAACATTTCTGTTCCTTCAATTCCCATGTCCTTTGTGTAAGTTTGAAATGTCCCAACATTGAATGTAACTTTGAGATGTCTCAATATTGAGTATAACTTTGCTGAACATTTAGCATGACAGATGGTGCCCAGCAAGCCTTACGACGCACTATGGAAATCTTCTCCAAGACTACACGCTTTGCATTGGCATGCAATTCATCAGAGAAAATTATTGGTAACCTACTGTTGACTTTGTTTGATTAGTCACCTATCTGTGTGTTAGATGTCTCACCTAACTGTGTTAGATGTCTCACCTACCTATGTGTTAGATGTCTCACCTACCTGTGTGTTAGATGTCTCACCTACCTGTGTTAGATGTCTCACCTTCCTGTGTGTTAGATGTCTCACCTACCTGTGTTTGATGTCTCACCTACCTGTGTTAGATGTCTCACCTACCTGTGAGTTAGATGTCTCACCTACCTGTGTGTTAGATGTCTCACCTACCTGTGTGTTAGATGTCTCACCTACCTGTGTTTGATGTCTCACCTACCTGTGTTAGATGTCTCACCTACCTGTGTTTGATGTCTCACCAACCTGTGTTAGATGTCTCACCTACCTGTGTGTTTGATATCTCACCTACCTGTGAGTTAGATGTCTCACCTACCTGTGTGTTAGATGTCTCACCTACCTGTGTTAGATGTCTTACCCAGTTGTGCTTTGTATTCTTGTAGAGCCCATACAGTCACGCTGTGCAGTTCTGCGCTATTCCAAACTAAGTGACTCTCAGCTGCTGGCAAGAATCCTAGAGGTGGTCAAGGCAGAGGATGTCAGTTATACAGACGACGGCTTGGAAGCCATCATCTTCACAGCACAGGGTGACATGCGACAGGCGAGAATTTATTGAATCGCACAATTTTGTTTGTGTTGAATTGTCCAGTCTGGGATGTGACTTTTCCTATTTTTTAGCACAATTCAGATTTTTTTTATTGGTTAGAGCTGCAATTTTCCTATGCAAATTTAATTTTCTCCTAATTTTTGTCACAAAATTTTTTTATCACTGACTTTTGCTGACTTGTAAACAGTTTTAGAAATCTAGGAAAAAACCAAAATGACTTCTACAAATACAGTCGTCATGCATGTCCCACAAATTCTGACTTAAGTTTCACATTTGGCCTATTGTTCACACTCCATTCAAACAGAGGGTCAAATATGCGACAATTACATTAGCTCTGACTTTACTAGCTTAAGATTACACCTCAGTCTTATTCCAAATTTTGTCATATTTTAGAATTATTCTAAATTTGCAAAAAAAATTTAGTAAAATTTTCAACTAATATTTTCAGTTAAAAAGCCAAAAGTAATCTAAAATCTAGCATTTCTTTAAATAAAGTGTCCATCTCCCAACCTTGAACTCTTAACTGTTAATCTCTCATGTCAACAAGCTATCAAGCTATAGCCTAATTTATCTACTGGTATTTTAACTCACCCACAAGCTTCCTATCATTGCGCTCCGCTTATATTTTTTTTCGCAACTTCAATTTAATTTTGAAAACTTTCCAAAGTTTACTCTGGTTAAAAATGGTTACTGGCAAAAAAACCCAGATAAACCATGTTGAGTCTTGGTATGAAAAAAAAATTTCCTATTTCTTTATGGTCAGGTCACATCCCTCTCTAGTTCTGTCTGTGTTGATTCAGGTCACATCCATGTCTAGTTCTGTCTGTGTTGATTCAGGTCACATCCCTGTCTAGTTCTGTCTGTGTTGATTCAGGTCACATCCCTGTCTAGTTCTGTCTGTGTTGATTCAGGTCACATCCCTGTCTAGTTCTGTCTGTGTTGATTCAGGTCACATCCCTGTCTAGTTCTGTCTGTGTTGATTCAGGTCACATCCCTGTCTAGTTCTGAGATCTGTCTGTGTTGATTCAGGTCACATCCCTGTCTAGTTCTGTCTGTGTTGATTCAGGTCACATCCCTGTCTAGTTCTGTCTGTGTTGATTCAGGTCACATCCCTGTCTAGTTCTGTCTGTGTTGATTCAGGTCACATCCCTGTCTAGTTGTGTCTGTGTTGATTCAGGTCACATCCATGTCTAGTTCTGTCTGTGTTGATTCAGGTCACATCCCTGTCTAGTTCTGTCTGTGTTGATTCAGGTCACATCCCTGTCTAGTTGTGTCTGTGTTGATTCAGGTCACATCCATGTCTAGTTCTGTCTGTGTTGATTCAGGTCACATCCCTGTCTAGTTCTGTCTGTGTTGATTCAGGTCACATCCCTGTCTAGTTCTGTCTGTGTTGATTCAGGTCACATCCCTGTCTAGTTCTGTCTGTGTTGATTCAGGTCACATCCCTGTCTAGTTCTGTCTGTGTTGATTCAGGTCACATCCCTGTCTAGTTCTGAGATCTGTCTGTGTTGATTCAGGTCACATCCCTGTCTAGTTCTGTCTGTGTTGATTCAGGTCACATCCCTGTCTAGTTCTGTCTGTGTTGATTCAGGTCACATCCCTGTCTAGTTCTGTCTGTGTTGATTCAGGTCACATCCCTGTCTAGTTGTGTCTGTGTTGATTCAGGTCACATCCATGTCTAGTTCTGTCTGTGTTGATTCAGGTCACATCCCTGTCTAGTTCTGTCTGTGTTGATTCAGGTCACATCCCTGTCTAGTTGTGTCTGTGTTGATTCAGGTCACATCCATGTCTAGTTCTGTCTGTGTTGATTCAGGTCACATCCCTGTCTAGTTCTGTCTGTGTTGATTCAGGTCACATCCCTGTCTAGTTCTGTCTGTGTTGATTCAGGTCACATCCCTGTCTAGTTCTGTCTGTGTTGATTCAGGTCACATCCCTGTCTAGTTCTGTCTGTGTTGATTCAGGTCACATCCCTGTCTAGTTCTGTCTGTGTTGATTCAGGTCACATCCCTGTCTAGTTCTGTCTGTGTTGATTCAGGTCACATCCCTGTCTAGTTCTGTCTGTGTTGATTAATCCAGTTGTGTGTTGCTTGCTAGCTCCCCTCACTGCTACCCCTGATCATCACATTATCAGTAGGGCCAGCTAGCATCAGTTTCTGTTTGAGCTTCCATTTGATCTCTATTTGAAATTTTGTCCCCAGGCTTTAAATAATTTACAGTCCACATATCAAGGCTTTGGACATGTCAACAGTGAAAATGTTTTTAAGGTAAGTTATTAACATTTCTTTTGATGTTGGTCCTCTCACCATTGACTGGCCCACTGGTCATCTCACCATTGACCGGCCCACTGGTCATCTCACCATTGACCGGCCCACTGGTCATCTCACCATTGACCGGCCCACTGGTCATCTCACCATTGACCGGCCCACTGGTCCTCTCACCATTGACTGGCCCACTGATCATCTCACCACTGACTGGCCATCTCACCATTGACTGGCCCACTGGTCATCTCACCATTGACCGGCCCACTGGTCCTCTCACCATTGACTGGCCCACTGGTCATCTCACCATTGACTGGCCCACTGGTCATCTCACCATTGACTGGCCCACTGGTCCTCTCACCATGGACTTACTTTTTGCATAGTAAAGAAAAGGGTTACGCTGTAACATTCAATTCCTGACATCTACCTTGCATGGAAAGATTATAGTTCAGAATTTTTTTGTGTGTGATGACCCTCAATCAGTGCTAATTAGTTTGTATTGTACAGGTGTGTGACGAGCCTCACCCAGTGCTAATTAAAGATATGCTAGATCAGTGTGTCCTGGGTCACCTGGATGATGCCTACAAGGTGATGGCCTACCTGTGGAAACTAGGCTACTCACCTGAAGACATTATCACTATCATATTCCGGGTCTGTAAAAATCACAGCATGGCTGAGTACCTCAAGCTGGAGTTTATCAAGGTAAGTCTGTCTCACCAAAAAGTTTTTATCAAGGTAAGTCTGTCTCACCAAAAAGTTTTTATCAAGGTAAGTCTGTCTCACCAAAAAGTTTTATCAAGTTAAGTCTGTCTCACCAAAAAGTTTTTATCAAGGTATGTCTGTCTCACCCAAAAGTTTTTATCAAGGTAAGTCTGTCTCACCCAAAAGTTTTTATCAAGGTAAGTCTGTCTCACCCAAAAGTTTTTATCAAGGTAAGTCTGTCTCACCAAAAAGTTTTTATCAAGGTAAGTCTGTCTCACCAAAAAGTTTTTATCAAGGTAAGTCTGTCTCACCCAAAAGTTTTTATCAAGGTAAGTCTGTCTCACCAAAAAGTTTTTATCAAGGTAAGTCTGTCTCACCCAAAAGTTTTTATCAAGGTAAGTCTGTCTCACCCAAAAGTTTTTATCAAGGTAAGTCTGTCTCACCCAAAAGTTTTTATCAAGGTAAGTCTGTCTCACCAAAAAGTTTTTATCAAGGTAAGTCTGTCTCACCCAAAAGTTTTTATCAAGGTAAGTCTGTCTCACCCAAAAGTTTTTATCAAGGTAAGTCTGTCTCACCCAAAAGTTTTTATCAAGGTAAGTCTGTCTCACCCAAAAGTTTTTATCAAGGTAAGTCTGTCTCACCAAAAAGTTTTTATCAAGGTAAGTCTGTCTCACCAAAAAGTTTTTATCAAGGTCTGTCTCACCCAAAAGTTTAATGGGAAACAGTGAGTGACATGAAGGTGAAATGGTTTAAAAAATGCCCCACCCATTTGTCCTCAGGAGATTGGATGGTGAAATGGTTTAAAAAATGCCCCACCCATTTGTCCTCAGGAGATTGGATGGTGAAATGGTTTAAAAAATGCCCCACCCATTTGTCCTCAGGAGATTGGATGGTGAAATGGTTTAAAAAATGCCCCACCCATTTGTCCTCAGGAGATTGGATGGTGAAATGGTTTAAAAAATGCCCCACCCATTTGTCCTCAGGAGATTGGATGGTGAAATGGTTTAAAAAATGCCCCACCCATTTGTCCTCAGGAGATTGGATGGTGAAATGGTTTAAAAAATGCCCCACCCATTTGTCCTCAGGAGATTGGATGGTGAAATGGTTTAAAAAATGCCCCACCCATTTGTCCTCAGGAGATTGGATGGTGAAATGGTTTAAAAAATGCCCCACCCATTTGTCCTCAGGAGATTGGATGGTGAAATGGTTTAAAAAATGCCCCACCCATTTGTCCTCAGGAGATTGGATGGTGAAATGGTTTAAAAAATGCCCCACCCATTTGTCCTCAGGAGATTGGATGGTGAAATGGTTTAAAAAATGCCCCACCCATTTGTCCTCAGGAGATTGGATGGTGAAATGGTTTAAAAAATGCCCCACCCATTTGTCCTCAGGAGATTGGATGGTGAAATGGTTTAAAAAATGCCCCACCCATTTGTCCTCAGGAGATTGGCTGGTGAAATGGTTTAAAAAATGCCCCACCCATTTGTCCTCAGGAGATTGGATGGTGAAATGGTTTAAAAAATGCCCCACCCATTTGTCCTCAGGAGATTGGATGGTGAAATGGTTTAAAAAATGCCCCACCCATTTGTCCTCAGGAGATTGGCTGGTGAAATGGTTTAAAAAATGCCCCACCCATTTGTCCTCAGGAGATTGGATGGTGAAATGGTTTAAAAAATGCCCCACCCATTTGTCCTCAGGAGATTGGATGGTGAAATGGTTTAAAAAATGCCCCACCCATTTGTCCTCAGGAGATTGGATGGTGAAATGGTTTAAAAAATGCCCCACCCATTTGTCCTCAGGAGATTGGCTGGTGAAATGGTTTAAAAAATGCCCCACCCATTTGTCCTCAGGAGATTGGATGGTGAAATGGTTTAAAAAATGCCCCACCCATTTGTCCTCAGGAGATTGGCTGGTGAAATGGTTTAAAAAATGCCCCACCCATTTGTCCTCAGGAGATTGGATGGTGAAATGGTTTAAAAAATGCCCCACCCATTTGTCCTCAGGAGATTGGATGGTGAAATGGTTTAAAAAATGCCCCACCCATTTGTCCTCAGGAGATTGGATGGTGAAATGGTTTAAAAAATGTTGCGCCCATTTGTCCTCAGGAGATTGGCTACACACACATGAGGCTGGCTGAAGGTGTCCAGTCTCTGCTCCAAATGTCTGGTCTGCTGGCCAGGCTCTGCCGCAAGTCAGCTGAACCAAATCATTTCATGCCCTGAACATTGCTGTCTGATTGGTTGATACATTTATTAAGGCGACTTAATGTGGACATTTTGTCGATGATTTCTTGTTGGTACAATTAGACAGGTTACTTCATGTGGACATTTTGTAGAGAGGATTTCTTTGGTGGATATGCTCTAAAGATGATTTGTGTGGATATGTAAACAGTGAAGCAGTGTATAAAATTTTTTTATTTATATATATATTAAAAAACAGTGAAAAAATGTGCTAGTTTTTTTTTTTTTTAAATTGTTTATGTTGTAACAGTAATATTAACCCTTCACAGTTACATGCACTCAAAATTTGCCAAAGATTTTTCTTAGTGGTACAGTCCACTGCTCACCCAAACTGTATTGTCCATTCATTAATCTAAGTAATGATAGTCCCCGGTAACTAGATTTTTATTGTTTTATTTACATCTTCTTCCTATTTTTCTAATAGTAGCTGTTCATTTTCTAAGATCTCTTTTCCAAGTTACAGGCAGTTAGTGAAATTAAAACTAATAAAAAACCTCTGCTGTTGAATCTGGCTGTAAATATGATACAATGAAAATACTGGGGGGAAAGTAGTACAAGTGACCAAATTTTTTCAGCATTTAAAAATTTTTTTTCTAAGATATTTTTATTTATTATTTGTACATTTTTACTTTCTTGTGTATGAATTATAGAGAAAGTATTGTTATCGTGCAAAAAAAAATTGAGATTTTTGCAAATCTCACCGTTTTACACCTCCCTGAGTCGGAAAAACATAGTTTTGCAATCTTGTCAGTCTGTGTGTGTCTGTAAACACGATAACTTGAGTACCATTACAGCTAAAAGATCTGATTCTCTGCCTTCTGTCAAATTTTGAGTAATTTCCATTCACCGGAAGTACTAATTTACGCTATTTCCGATTTCTAAAAAAAAAACGCATGTGAATTTATAAAATACTAATAATATTCTGAATTATTATATATATTTTGTTTGGCGTCCACATGGTGAGCAATTCTATTTTCTATGCGATTCTATTATTTAAAGTTTAAGTAATTAAAAATAGATAACAATGTCTATATCCTGAGTTGCCAATAAAAAAAGTTTAGGGGAGATCACTACCTGTTTATTAACTATTAAGGGGATATGCTATGTTTTTTTTCTATTTTTTACAGTTTAAGATCTAAAGCCTTTTGAATACTTTTATCATATTTGGCATATAAAAGTAAGTAATAAACAGCAAAAAAGAGGGTCGAAAACAATTTTGGTTGTCATGGAAACCCAAAAAACCTCCGCCATTTTTGAATTTTTCGGTATTTTTAAAAATACTAAGGCTTTTTTATTTATGCACTTATAGCAATCAAATTTAAACTGCTTATATTTCAGTATATATTAAAACTTTTGTCACAACAACTTTTGAAATAATTACTAGTAAGAATTTTACAAGGTCTAAACAAACCCCTTTTAGTATTCAAAAGTTTCAAAATGTGCATATTAATTACCAAATACTTTTTTTCTATGAAAGCAATCACAATTCCCTCATGACAAAAGTTGTATTTTTGCATCAAGAACATTTACTGAAAATAGTGTTGGCGTTGTTTAATAAATAAAAACGTAGTAGGCTTTAGTGTTAAAAACCTGCGAACTGAGAAAAACAGCCAAAAGTAACGAAAACTATGTCAGGAAAGTTATGTATCTGTGTAAACTGCAAAGCCGATTGTAAGTTTTGGGTGTTTCTGAGATGTAGGAAATTAAGTTTATTAAATACATAAGAAATCTAAGTTTTCAATGATGTCAAATACAATATAATAAGGGATATAAAACTTTTCATAGAGAGCTTGTAAGATTGGGAAAAATTGATTATTTTTTAATTAATAGAGTCATAAAAATCGTAATTCAAGCACATACATTTTTTTTTTCTCTTTAAAATTATTATTTTTTAATACAAAAATGGACAAAGTATCCAAAAGTGCAAGAAACCCATCATGACGAAAAACAAAAAAACTGTGATTTTTTTCCGCGCATATCCCCTTAAGATTCAAATATACTGATACTAGGCAATTTTTCTGTAGTATCATTATGGTTTTTTTTTAATGCACCAATTTTTTTGCCTGGAAGAAAGTTTTTTCCCCCAGACAGTAAAGGGTTACCATGCCAATAGCAGAAGTAGAATTTTGCCTTTTTTAAAGACAGCCTAAGAGTTAAAATGTGTGTCCCAACAAATGTTTTCATTGCCTTAATGAAAATATCTCTAGATTGCTAATAACATTTAGCTTCAATAATTTTTGAAATGTCATTTTTGTTAGTGCTCCTTCCCGCCAGTTTTTGTGATTGAATTTTAGTGTGTATCAACTAAGTCCTCTTTTGTTGCTCTATTTCAAGTCAAAAGCCAAATCAGTGTTTGAAAAATATCAAGTTTTACATTTAGTTCAGATAATAAAAAAGTTTTCAAACATTATTTCTTTTCAATTAACAAAACCAAGCATGACATTTTGATACAATTAAAACAAAATCAAGCATGACATTTTGATGCAATTAAACAATTAAGCATGAGATGTTTCAACAAACAAAAAAACCATGACCTGGGGTGGACTGCTGACAACAGAGCTGTAATTATCCTAAGAATTGTGTTGGCATTTTTAAATAATCTGTTTCGACATTTTACAGATTTTATTAATGTATGCCAGGGCATAAAATGCAGACTTTGAGAAAAAATGCACAAAGATTTAATGGGGGGGGGGGGGGTGTTAAAATTGTATCCAAGTGACAACCTGGCATACAGGTGTATCCTAAGTGGCAACTCCAGAAGAACTGTACAGAGGTCTTTATTTAATGCAGCCTCTTTTAATGGGGTCCATTTGGTAAGAACATTTTGTCAATAATTTGGTAGCTCTATGCATTAGAAACATGCTGAAAAAGTTCAGCTTTGTATTGCAACATCAAATGGCTGTGTCTTGTGTTGGAAGCCTGTACTTCAAGTAGATAAATAGCCAGACAGGAAGTGAAAACTATACAACAAAAACTTACCCTACTCTAAACTACAACTTAAGTTTTCAATGTGGCTACTCACTGGCTGGGTGTGGCTACTATAACTGTCTTTGCCTGTCTCTATTGTTTTCAATTTTATTTAACATGCTTCATATTTTTTATTATTATTTACACATGAATGTACAAAGACAAACATTGAATGGGTTTGTACAGTAGATAATGCACTCACCTGGGTATATACAAACTAGAGTTCAAACTTGACATCCGATGCTGGGATATTGGAATACAACTAAATTTGGAATTACAATCAGCATTGAACCCACTCAGTAGGACATTAGGATTACATATTGAAAGAATCAAAGTGAGAATCAAACTGAATTGGAACTAAAGTTTAACCACTAACCCTGATAGGATTTTAGACAATTGAGAATGAACAAAGCAACATGGAGATATCAACTTTGGCTTTATGGAGGTCGAATGCTTGGTCTAAGCTTGGCTTTTTGAAGCTCTTGTGTTCTTTTCTTTCTCTCCACGGCTTGGTTGCCCACACTCAGGTGTAAGGCGGGGAGGCTGACATTTTCTTTCACATACGCCAAGTCTGGTCTGGGGACAAATAGAGAAGACATCAGTTCCTTCAGTCAGGAGGATAGAGCTGACCCCACCTCAAACTGACCCCACCCCAAACTGACCCCATCCCAAACTGACCCCACCCCAAACTGACCCCACCTCAAACTGACCCCACCCCAAACTGACCCCATCCCAAACTGACCCCACCCCAAACTGACCCCACCCCAAACTGACCCCACCTCAAACTGACCCCACCCCAAACTGACCCCACAAAACTTTTGCGGCACTTCTTACATTTTTCTCATTGGGTTCTTGAGTGGGATTCTAGGCAGGCTAGATCTACTTCCTTTCTCCCCCTCCTTCCTGTCATCTGCTGCTATATAGGCTTTAGCCATTAAGAAGGCATCAGGCGTCCACTTATGTGAGTAAAGTACATCACGCAGGTCTAACTTGAGTCTGTCCAACTGCAGGAGAAACTTAGAGGTTAGCTGTGAGTAAAGTACATCACGCAGGTCTAACTTGAGTCTGTCCAACTGCAGGAGAAACTTAGAGGTTAGCTGTGAGTAAAGTACATCACGCAGGTCTAACTTGAGTCTGTCCAACTGCAGGAGAAACTTAGAGGTTAGCTGTGAGTAAAGTACATCACGCAGGTCTAACTTGAGTCTGTCCAACTGCAGGAGAAACTTAGAGGTTAGCTGTGAGTAAAGTACATCACGCAGGTCTAACTTGAGTCTGTCCAACTGCAGGAGAAACTTAGAGGTTAGCTGTGAGTAAAGTACATCACGCAGGTCTAACTTGAGTCTGTCCAACTGCAGGAGAAACTTAGAGGTTAGCTGTGAGTAAAGTACATCACGCAGGTCTAACTTGAGTCTGTCCAACTGCAGGAGAAACTTAGAGGTTAGCTGTGAGTAAAGTACATCACGCAGGTCTAACTTGAGTCTGTCCAACTGCAGGAGAAACTTAGAGGTTAGCTGTGAGTAAAGTACATCACGCAGGTCTAACTTGAGTCTGTCCAACTGCAGGAGAAACTTAGAGGTTAGCTGTGAGTAAAGTACATCACACAGGTCTAACTTGAGTCTGTCCAGCTGCAGGAGAAACTTAGAGGTTAGCTGTGAGTAAAGTACATCACGCAGGTCTAACTTGAGTCTGTCCAACTGATGGAGAAACTTAGAGGTTAGCTGTGAGTAAAGTACATCACGCAGGTCTAACTTGAGTCTGTCCAGCTGCAGGAGAAACTTAGAGGTTAGCTAGTAAAGAATTTTTTCATTTCAGATGAGCAGTTCTACAACTGTTTACATACAGATGAGCAGTTCTACAACTGAAATGTTTACATACAGATGAGCAGTTCTACAACTGAAATGTTTACATACAGATGGTTTTAAAAGCTGTGACAGCAGAAATTTTCCCAAAACTAAAAGCAGACATTCAGTAAAAAAAGACAACAGACATTCCCTGTGACAGACAACACATTCCCTCGGACAGGCAGCAATTCCCCACCTCATGGCTTTGTTGGGCGTTGACCTGCTGCAGATGTTTGATCATGGCTTGAGACTGTGCGAGTGTCAGTGGTTGAGTGACGTCAGCTACTGGCATGCTGACAGTGGAGGTCTCAATCTCCACTGTCTCACCCTGATTCCTCTCAAACCTCATGGCATCAATGGTTCCCTTCCTGCATGTAGACAAGTTTGTGACATCATGACAACTGTGTCTTCAACTCTTTGAATGTTGTCATGTCAACTTTGTCATCATGTCAACTATGTCATCACCTCAAATGTTAGATGTTGTCATGTCAACTATGTGTTATCACATCAACTGTTTGTGGCTAACATGGGAACTACAAAGTGAACCAACCACTGAGTGCTGAATGATGAACTGAGACAGAACATTTTGAGTTGACCAATCATTGACTTACTGTCTCTCCTGTCCAATCATTGACTTACTGTCTCTCCTGTCCAATCATTGACTTACTGTCTCTCCTGTCCAATCATTGACTTACTGTCTCTCCTGTCCAATCATTGACTTACTGTCTCTCCTGTCCAATCATTGACTTACTGTCTCTCCTGTCCAATCATTGACTTACTGTCTCTCCTGTCCAATCATTGACTTACTGCTGTCTCTCCTGTCCAATCATTGACTTACTGTCTCTCCTGTCCAATCATTGACTTACTGTCTCTCCTGTCCAATCATTGACTTACTGTCTCTCCTGTCCAATCATTGACTTACTGTCTCTCCTGTCCAATCATTGACTTACTGTCTCTCCTGTCCAATCATTGACTTACTGCTGTCTCTCCTGTCCAATCATTGACTTACTGTCTCTCCTGTCCAATCATTGACTTACTGTCTCTCCTGTCCAATCATTGACTTACTGTCTCTCCTGTCCAATCATTGACTTACTGTCTCTCCTGTCCAATCATTGACTTACTGTCTCTCCTTTTGTTCCTCTGCTTGCTGTAGTAACTGGGTCAAATATTGATTTTTCTTCCTGGATTCCTGAAGAGCATTTTTAAGTTCTTTAATTGCTTCCTCGAGAAAAATTATTTTCATTTCTTCTGTTTTGCCTGTAGAAAAAAAAACAGGGAGTTTGTTACTTTGACAAATAAATATTTCTAAGCTCACACATTTTTTGATATGGGGTGGTGAGTGACATTCCCTCTAAGGGGAAAAGGCTAGTGTGCAATTTGTATTTTGTGTGCGCTGTGTTCTAAAAGTGTGATACAAGGATATACATATTTTACAAAATGACTGCGCCACAGGTTCAAAACTACTGCGGGGCAGCGCACCTTAGAGGGAACATGGATGGTGAGTGAATAGGGGTGGTGAGTGACATGGTGAGTGAATAGGGGTGGTGAGTGACATGGTGAGTGACATGATGAGTGAGGATGTCACTCACCACCCATGCCACTCACCAATTATGTCATTCACCAATAGATTTCTAACCAAAATTTTGCAGCTACAGCTAAAACATTTTTTAGCTGCAGCTTAATTGTCTTTGACAAGAATATGACCTCTCTCTTGACCTCACCTGAACTGGTTTTGTCAGTCCCACCTTCTGTGTCTGTAGTTAAGGGTTTCTGACTCATGACAATTTTAAACTGCAAGTCTGTAGAGGAGCAGCAGAATTTTAATCTTAAAGTAAACAAATCTTATATCAAGCTTGATAGTCTGTGTTTTGTATGACTTTTGTATAGATTTGACAGCTGTGTTTGTCATCACTACCTAGTAATTTAAAGATTTGACAACTGTGTTTGTCATCACTACCTAGTAATTTAAAGATTTGACAACTGTGTTTGTCATCACTACCTAGTAATTTAAAGATTTGACAACTGTGTTTGTCATCACTACCTAGTAATTTAAAGATTTGACAACTGTGTTTGTCATCACTACCTAGTAATTTAAAGATTTGACAACTGTGTTTGTCATCACTACCTAGTAATTTAAAGATTTGACAACTGTGTTTGTCATCACTACCTAGTAATTTAAAGACACATGGGAGCTCCAACAGGTTTTACAAGAAGTGATTCTTGTGTGCAGGTTGTTGGGTCAAAGGTCACCAGGTCTGGGGTTGTTGGGTCAAAGGTCACCAGGTCTGGGGTTGTTGGGTCAAAGGTCACCAGGTCTGGGGTTGTTGGGTCAAAGGTCACCAGGTCTGGGGTTGTTGGGTCAAAGGTCACCAGGTCTGGGGTTGTTGGGTGAAAGGTCACCAGGTCTGGGCTTGTTGGGTCAAAGGTCACCAGGTCTGGGGTTGTTGGGTCAAAGGTCACCAGGTCTGGGGTTGTTGGGTGAAAGGTCACCAGGTCTGGGGTTGTTGGGTGAAAGGTCACCAGGTCTGGCATGTTTGAGTAAAATGCTGAAATTGGAAGAAAAAAAAATTGCAAACCTTTATTTTCTTTCTTGAGTGCCTCCACCTCCTGGTGCAGTGAGTGAAGCAGCTCAGCATGTTGCTGGCGCAGGAAGAGCAAGCTCCGCTCTAGGTACTCAATTCTTTGTGTGGGGTTCAGGTCACTGCCAGTGGCGTCTGATGGATCACTAGTAAAGCCAAGGTCAAGGTGAGCTCTGGGATCCCTCACAAAACGCTTTGGGTAATGAGCCTGAAAGCAGCAACATAATAACTTGATTAATTACAAATCTAACTCCAGTGGGGGGGGGTGTCTTCTGGAGATTTTTTATGGAACACAAATTACAGCCTATACTAAATAACAAAACATGAGATAGAAACAAACTGTTCAATGAACTTTTTAAAAAGTGGTAGTACTTTTGTTTATCTAGTGATCAAACCGCACAAAATGTCAGCCACAATAACTAGGAGATCAACCAACATGTTGCACAAAACAGCAAACAACATGACAAAAATAAAACAAGTCATCTGACTGGTTACCTTGTCCAGAGCATTGACCCGAGACCACTGAGGGAGGGTGTTGAGAGGAGGAACTGTGTTGTTCATGGCCGCAAGTTCAAGGACACGACCATGGGCGAATTCTTGTTGGATCATTTTCTTGTGACCACTAGCAGACTCCACCAACTGGAGAGCTTCAACAGTTTTCAGTTTGCCTGTCACATGTAAGATATCAAAATAGGATGTGTGCTGTAGCACTCTCTGCTATGACTTTGTGAAAGAACAGCACAGGATTTTATGTCTGAGAAAAGAAAGGGGGGTGAGTGGTGCCCTTTGTGTAAGGATAGTGTGGGGGTGAGTGGTGCCCTTTGTGTAAGGATAGTGTGGGGGTGAGTGGTGCCCTTTGTGTAAGGATAGTGTGGGGGTGAGTGGTGCTCTTTGTGTAAGGATAGTGTGGGGGTGAGTGGTGACCTTTGTGTAAGGATAGTGTGGGGGTGAGTGGTGCCCTTTGTGTAAGGATAGTGTGGGGGTGAGTGGTGACCTTTGTGTAAGGATAGTGTGGGGGTGAGTGGTGCCCTTTGTGTAAGGATAGTGTGGGGGTGAGTGGTGACCTTTGTGTAAGGATAGTGTGGGGGTGAGTGGTGCCCTTTGTGTAAGGATAGTGTGTGGGTGAGTGGTGCCCTTTGTGTAAGGATAGTGTGGGGCTGAGTGGTGCCCTTTGTGTAAGGATAGTGTGGGGGTGAGTGGTGCCCTTTGTGTAAGGATAGTGTGGGGGTGAGTGGTGCCCTTTGTGTAAGGATAGTGTGGGGGTGAGTGGTGCCCTTTGTGTAAGGATAGTGTGGGGGTGAGTGGTCCATAAATGATGTCACACTTGTAGGGTGAGATGGGTCAGTAATGAGGGGAGGGGTTCAGATAGTGTGATAGCACTTTTGCATTCATTAAAAAAAAGTTATGTTATAAACTGAATCTTAGCCATTATTTCGCGTTTTAATAACTTGTAATAGAAATTGATTTAAATACTGTATGTTAACCAATATTAGTCAATATTTATTTTAGAAAAAAAAATTCATCTGCAATTTTGAGGGGGTTTGTAGGCTGAAGTGTGATGACATTTTAGGAGAGGGGGGGGGGTCTGGATTTTTTTGATGATGTGTGATGGAGAGAAGGGAGTTGGTAAAAATCATCCAAAAAAGCGTCATGTATGGATGACCCCTATGTACTATGTAATGCATGTAAATCTACCATGTAAGGCAGAATATATGTACTACTATAAAGAAAGTTCGCCAATGTTGTTTATCTATAAAAAGCAACGTATGTGTCACACATTGTGTGTCTGTTTGTCTTTTCTGCAAGTGTATATGCTAATTATTGATGCTATTAAACATTGTTCCAGTTCTTCTTACTACCTTTAACTTTAGTAAATCTAATATCTTATTTTACTAGATCTAGAATATATTTGTCACGAAGTGTACTGTATTTAAATTTTAATTGACCGTTTAAATGAAAATAAAGTCAAGTGCATTAAACTAATGTTTTAACTTAAATTAAAGTTTAATTAACAGAAAATGTATAACAATTAGTAGATCTAAATATTATTAATAAAGTCGTGTGTAGATCTAGTATTACTAGTAATTAATGTTTTTTTTTTTTTAATAAAACAAAAAAAAACTTGCAGAAGTCTCAGTCAGAGTAACGATTTTTGAACGAATGTAAACGAAACTCAACAAACATTACCGGATAATTTCCGACGCTATATCGTGAGATTACCCCCCATCAACCCACCTCATCTCTCTTCGATTGCGTCCTGTTAAAATTATAAGCTGTAATGTTATTAGCGCAGCAGAATGGAAATGGAATGTACTCACTTCGTCGTCAATGACTCTCCGCCATTATCATAACTCACGGGACACTACTCAGAAAATTACAATTATTAGTCTAGATCTAGAATCTAGATTCTATTTACAGAATCTATTTCCGGTGTACACAATTCAAGCTCCTACTTGCACAATCGAAACGATCTAGGATTCTAGATTTTGATTAGAATCAATCTAGATCTAGATCTGTTTCTTACAGATAATTGTGTCATAGTTTAGAATCTAATTACTTAACTTAGTGTGTCATAGTCTAGATTCTAGAATCTACTTTACTTTAACTTACTAGACTAGATTTACTTACTTCAACTTACGTAAACTAAAACATCATCATAGGCCTAAATCGGATTTATTAAAATTTAAATCATTACAATTCTACATCGATTCGAGATGTTTTCAAAACTGTTTACTTAATTTTAAACTTTATTTATACTGAAGTCTAGAGTCTAGATCTACATTGTAATAATTGATAAAACTTCAAACAAGAACTTGACTTGAGTTTTTGGAATTCCCTTCGCTTGATTATAAATATTTATCAAAGTTTGATTAATTGGGCACAATATCAAAGAAAAACACTACTCTAGAAAAAATGGTTCTTGTGGTGCATACAATTTTTTCCTCTTTATATTTCCATCAGGCCTATATTTATCTTTGCAAGTTTATGTTTCCGTTTTAGTTTACTATAGGCCACTCAAAACATAATTTATGAATGTTCCCAGTAAACTTAGCAAGATGCCATCGATCATGCCTTATGCAGTGCCCTACCAGAACCAGTTACAGTTCAATTTGGGGGTACCTGTGACTACAGGAAACCTAGCCGTTCAATTTAGGCATCCAGCCCCCATCATTGTGGAGAGAAACTGTGGCCAAAATGGGCTGCCCATTAAAGTGCCATCAGGTAATGTTTTATTTGTGTGATGTCATTTTATTTGGTGTTGACTTTCTTTTATTGTATTATTCTTCTGACTTAGAAATGTCTGAAGAAGATATTAAGCAATCAATTTACATATTCCAGCAGCTGGGTCAGCGCCCAGCCAATCAGCTGTCAACTTCTCCTGTCTGTCTGAAGAAAAGATGGCCGTCATGTCTCAGCTGGCCAGACGAGATTTAAAAAACAGAAATTTGCAAGTAAACGTAATTTTTTTTCTTATTGAGTTTGAACCAATATGTAGTTCTTTAATTATGGCAGTCTTAACTGATTTGATTTGGTTTTTCCTTTCTCTACAGAAGACAAGTCAGCCTGATTTGATTTGGTTTTTCCTTTCTCTACAGAAGACAAGTCAGCCTCCCAGTCCTGAATGTGTGCAGCACCTTGTACCCAGACCTCAGCAGCCTTGCACCCGCTCACATGTCCACAAGACACGAGGATTGAACAAACCTCGGCACCCACTAACTGTGAAAGAAAAAAATGGTGTCTTTGGTGCGGTGCAGACACCGCCTCCAGTCAAGCCAACAACACATTATTTAAAAGATGAGACATCTTTCCTTTCAACCAAAAATGGTAAAAAGCTGAGACAGCCAATAAAACACTAGATAAATCATCAGCACAAATAACTGCTTGCAATACAATGATGAAAGGTGTAGAAGAGAATTATTTTGATGTAATCCAAAATTTGGTAAATCATCAGTAATAAACCATGTGTTCAGTTGTGAATGAAAATGTCACCATCTGTATTTTTAGTTTCCCTCAACACTAGCAAAGACTCGGACATGTTTTTCCCAGCCAAAATTCTACCAGCAGGAGTTAGCTCCCTGCCCCAAGATGAGATCAGCAAGATACAAGGAGAAATGTTGACATTGCTTCAAGTGCTGCAAACTGTCCAAGAGAGGGCACTCTCTGGTGAGTAGCTCTCTTTTCTCAAAACAAATAAACAATCAGTCCAAACATAAGGTCCTCGACCTTTGTATGACACATCTAAGCCAAGTATCATCTTGTGGCTGAGATTGTTGACTTAATAAATTGTTCTCTCTTGACCTTTGTATGACACAACTAAGCCAAGTATCATCTTGTGGCTGAGATTGTTGACTTAATAAATTGTTCTCTCTTGACCTTTGTATGACACAACTAAGCCAAGTATCATCTTGTGGCTGAGATTGTTGACTTTATAAATTGTTCTCTCTTGACGGGATGCCAACAGAGCACAGCCTGGCATTCCTGCGTCTGCCAGTCAGGTTGAAAGAGAAAGCCGGCTACCTGCCGGAGGAGGAGAACCTGGAGCGTGCACTGGTCAGGCTGGAGGAGCAGAGGGTCAGGTCAGCCCGCAATGTTTACAACCTCAAGCAAAAAGTTGGGCAGCTGCAGAAGGAGGCGGCCTCTCATGTCAACAAACCACTGAAACAGGTGGGTGGGGGGGGGGGGGGCAACTGTCTGTCACCTGTAATGTTGAGCTTCAGTATTGTTTAACCATTAATGACCCATTCATTCCACCAAAACACCACCCTTTACGGCCCAATATAAGGAGCATAACTCTGTATGATCAAGTGAACAGTTCCACAAAATATTTGTTTGAAAATTAAGATAAAAACTACTGCTTAGTGTTGGGAATAAACCTGGCTTTCCAACAGTATTAAATAGAATATATTATATTCGGTACAAGTACAGTATAAAAATAAAAAAATGTCGGAGAAAATTCAAAACAGGTCATTTTTGGTAGTCAACGTTATTTATTTTTGTCTAAACAACTATGCATCGAATTTAACAGTTAAATATCAATTTGGTTATGTTTAAGACATATAATTCATAAAATACATGCCTAGATACGTTTATAGGCATGATTTTATTTTATTTTTAATATTAAATCAACTAAAAATAGGACAGATGAGTCTAAAATTTTGGGATAGAAAGAAACTTTTTGTATCTTTCAAAATCGCCATTGAAATTAGAAGCTATCCAACTGAAACTATCCAACTTCCTGTTTAGTTAAAAATTAGGATTTGTAGGCCAAATTTTAATAAAACAAATTTTATTTTTCTATGCTTATTGTAAGTGGGCATTACGGGCCATCATGGGTAGTGGGCGTTATGGGTCATCAATGGTTAAGTAGACTTGAGCAGTGATTGATGCCATGTACCAGACTTGTCTTCTCAAATTGCAGCAGCTGCTGAGTGCCCATCTGATGACAAACCACCGCATAGCTCTGAAATGTTTACAAGCTTTTGTCAAGCACCTGCCATTCCATGAGCTGGAGCGCGGTCTCCCTGCTGTCTACCACGACCTGGCATCTGTCATACAACAACTGGCGGCACTATCTGCTGTCAGCAGACAAGAAGACTCTCACACTCACAGGCAGTTGGCAGCCATCTTGGATCACATTCAAGTAATTTCTGATTATATCTGTTTGCTTATTTACCTTCTCTAAAAACTCCTGCTAGTTGAGCCTGTCATGTACCTGCGGCAGGTTTGTGGCCCTGGCAGGTACTGCAGCAGGCGGATTGACCTGTTCCATACCTGTGACAGTCCAAATGTTTTGATTTAAATGTTCTGATGTGACAGTCCAAATGTTTTGATGTGACACTTCAGAACTTAAACAGCCAGTGGTGTAGACAGCTGAAGACTCAGCCAAGCCAAGATAGGAAGGTCAAGGATTGGGTCAGTGACACAAAGCTGGAGCAGAATTTGTTGCTGAACAAAAACAAAGTCAGCTTTGGATTTGTTCCTAGACCCACGGCGCAGCGGAAAAAACAGCGCAGAGGTGCTGGCAAAGAAAATAAATTGGCTGCCTCAGATGGTAATGTGATGTTGTGTAGATGGTGATGTTGTGCTTACCTCAGATGGTGATGTGATGTTGTGCTTACCTCAGATGGTGATGTGATGTTGTGCTTACCTCAGATGGTAATGTGATGTTGTGTAGATGGTGATGTTGTGCTTACCTCAGATTGTGATGTGATGTTGTGCTTACCTCAGATGGTAATGTGATGTTGTGCTTACCTCAGATGGTGATGTTGTGTAGATGGTGATGTTGTGCTTACCTCAGATGGTGATGTGATGTTGTGCTTACCTCAGATGGTAATGTGATGTTGTGTAGATGGTGATGTTGTGCTTACCTCAGATGGTGATGTGATGTTGTGCTTACCTCAGATGGTAATGTGATGTTGTGCTTACCTCAGATGGTGATGTGATGTTGTGTAGATGGTGATGTTGTGTAGATGGTGATGTTGTGCTTACCTCAGATGGTAATGTGATGTTGTGTAGATGGTGATGTTGTGCTTACCTCAGATGGTAATGTGATGTTGTGCTTACCTCAGATGGTAATGTGATGTTGTGTAGATGGTGATGTTGTGCTTACCTCAGATGGTGATGTGATGTTGTGCTTACCTCAGATGGTAATGTGATGTTGTGCTTACCTCAGATGGTGATGTGATGTTGTGTAGATGGTGATGTTGTGTAGATGGTGATGTTGTGCTTACCTCAGATGGTAATGTGATGTTGTGTAGATGGTGATGTTGTGCTTACCTCAGATGGTGATGTTGTGTAGATGGTGATGTTGTGCTTACCTCAGATGGTAATGTGATGTTGTGTAGATGGTGATGTTGTGCTTACCTCAGATGGTGTTGTGATGTTGTGCTTACCTCAGATGGTGATGTGATGTTGTGCTTACCTCAGATGGTGATGTGATGTTGTGTAGATGGTGATGTTGTGCTTACCTCAGATGGTAATGTGATGTTGTGTAGATGGTGATGTTGTGCTTACCTCAGATGGTGATGTTGTGTAGATGGTGATGTTGTGCTTACCTCAGATGGTGATGTGATGTTGTGTAGATGGTGATGTTGTGCTTACCTCAGATGGTGATGTTGTGTAGATGGTGATGTTGTGCTTACCTCAGATGGTGATGTTGTGCTTACCTCAGGTGGTAATGTGATGTTGTGTAGATGGTGATGTTGTGCTTACCTCAGATGGTGATGTTGTGTAGATGGTGATGTTGTGCTTACCTCAGATGGTGATGTGATGTTGTGTAGATGGTAATGTTGTGTAGGTGGTGATGTTGTGCTTACCTCAGATGGTGATGTTGTGCTTACCTCAGATGGTAATGTGATGTTGTGTAGATGGTGATGTTGTGCTTACCTCAGATGGTGTTGTTAAGACGTCTGGTTCTCTAAAGTTGATCCATTTACTGTCATAGAGAGAAAGTCACAGCTTCAGAAAGGAATTGCATACCTGCTGCAAAATAAAAGCACAGGAGATGGCATATCTTATCAAGAAAAACTTGGCAAGCCTGCATTTGAAAAGGTAATCTATTGGAATAGAAAGTTGTTTCCAAGTTTAGTGTGACCGTCAGCACACAAGATGGAGATGTTTGAAGGGTCTTGTGCTCTACCACAGGTACAGGTGGGCAGCAGCTGGGATGATTTGACCAAACACTACTTGACTTCCACTGTGGCTACCAGGTCAAAAACAGCACAGAGGTCAAGTTCTGCCCCCAGCTCTCCAGAGTAAGTTTTGGTTTGGTTTGGACTTCTCTTTTTTTCTTTACAGTCTTTTTACTTTCTCGTATATACAAAGTATAGAGACAGTCTTGTAATCCTGCAAAAAAAAAAAAAAAAGATTTTTTGCAAATCTCAAAGTTTTACAGCTCCCTTAGTGGGAAAAACATAGTTTTGCAATCTTGTCCGTATGCCTCTGTGTGTGTCTGTAAACATGATAACTTGAGTACCGTTACAGCTAGGTTGATGAAATTTCATATATAAGTATTTTATCAACATCGTAGATCCGTATCAACTTTTGAGCGATTTCCGCTAACCGGAAGTGGTACTTTTTCTACTTTCAATTTTTCAAAAGCCTGTAACTTGAGTACTATTTCAGATAGATAAATGAAATTTCACATGTAAGTAAATGTAAAAGATCTAATTCTCTACCTTCTTTCAAATTTTGAGTAATTTCCGTTGACCGAATGTAGTAATTTACGCTATTTCTGATTTCTCAAAAAATGCATGTGAATTTATAAAGTACTAATAATATTCCACACTGTTATGCACATTTTGTTTGGGGTTAACTTGGTGTGCAGTTCTTTTTTCTACGAGATTCTAATTTAAAAAGTTTAAGTATTTAAAATGGATTAAAAATCATGTCTATGTCCCACGTTGCCATCCCTTGTTGTTTTATATTCGAGAAAGTTTAGGGGAGATCACTCCTGGCTTATTTGTAAGAATTATTACAGGCAATCTTGTTTTTTACGGATTGTTACAGATACTTTAGATATTTGTAAGGATTGTTAGACACTATATGGCTTTTAACAGGTTGACATGTAATGCTTAATTGTATCGGAAGAAATCCCTTCAAACATTACAATTAAGAATGAACATGAAGAAGAACATAAGGATAGTTACATATTTGCCAGAAATTTGTTAAAAGTTTTGGATGTTATTCAGGTTTGACAAATTGTTTTAACTTAATTTTTTTTTCGCATAACTTCTGTACAAGTTTACTAAATTATTTATTGTAATTTCTCATAATCAGTTTGTGTCTTTTCTCACAACAAAGTAGGAAAAAGGAAGTGAACTTTGACCTGCATAGATCTCCTTCCCCACCAGCTTTCAGAGTATCAACACCTTTCTATGTGGGGGACATGACAACAGCAGATGTCAGGTAAAGGGACACCTTTTTATGTGGGGGACATGACATGTCAGGTAAAGGGACACCTTTCTATGTGGGGGACATAACAACAGGTCAGGTAAAGGGACACCTTTTTATGTGGGGGACATTTTGAGTGACCTTCAAAGTCATGAGGTGTTACTTCATATTTTTAATTTCCTCTGGTTTCTTAAATAGAAATAATTTAAGTACCATTTCAGTTAGGCGTACAAAATTGTATACACAGGTGTAAGATCTTATTCTCTTGCATTTTTCTAATTTAAAATAAACCGGGAGTGATCTCCCCTAAACTTTCTCGAATATTCTAATATAACACTACGTCATGCCAAGTTTCAGAGAAATAGAGTTGATTAGAAATGGTCAAAATTTCACTCACCAGTTACAATCCATGATCTACAACAGAAAAAAGCATGACAGAGGAAGCAAGTTAAACAAAAGCTTGTGAGACTAATAAAAAATATTTATACTGCACAGCAGCACAGGAAGTGCCATACACCAAACTGTTATATTTATATAAGAATATAGGAGAAAGTTTAGGGGAGATCACTCCTGCTTTATTAGAGAATTTTTTTTGTCTTGAAAAGGGAAATAATTCAATATTTTAAAAATCTTTTTATTTAGAGAACATTTTCCAGTGGGACTGTCAAAGGTAAGTTAAAAAGTACTTACATTTGTTTTCTTTACACAATATTTGTTTTGTTTTAAATTAAATGTTTACATATTTGCTTGTTGACACATTGAACTAAAATTTTGTTCAACTTAAAGTTTTGCAATTGATTTTTTCAAACCTCACAAGTCAGGTGTCAGCAAACTCCAGCCTAGTTTCTCACATGATACCCCTGCATCCAATCAAAGGTCACTTTCTGAAGGTCACAGGCTCAGGTATTTATAGCTGAATCAAATGTTTGTAGCCACACCATCAGCATCTAACTACACAAAACATCTGCCTAGTTGCAAGTATTACCTTATTTGCCACACCATCAGCATCTAACTACACAAAACATCTGCCTAGTCGCAAGTATAACCTTATTTGCCACACCATCAGCATCTAACTACACAAAACATCTGCCTAGTCGCAAGTATTACCTTATTTGCCACACCATCAGCATCTAACTACACAAAACATCTGCCTAGTCGCAAGTATTACCTTATTGTTACCAACAGATCAGCTGATGTATCCAATTCTTTCATTGATGAAGTAGAGCATCGCTTACTCCAGAGGTTAAAGGTCAAGCCAGGTCAAGGACAGCAAAAGATAGTGAGCCAAGGTTTACAGGTAACCAAAGCTTTTGTCTCTATTGGCGTGGCCGAGGTTTACAGGTAACCAAAGCTTTTGTCTCTATTGGCGTGGCCAAGGTTTACAGGTAACCAAAGCTTTTGTCTCTATTGACGTGGCCAAGGTTTACAGGTAACCAAAGCTTTTGTCTCTATTGGCGTGGCCAAGGTTTACAGGTAACCAAAGCTTTTGTCTCTATTGGCGTGGCCAAGGTTTACAGGTAACCAAAGCTTTTGTCTCTATTGACGTGGCCAAGGTTTACAGGTAACCAAAGCTTTTGTCTCTATTGGCGTGGCCAAGGTTTACAGGTAACCAAAGCTTTTGTCTCTATTGACGTGGCCAAGGTTTACAGGTAACCAAAGCTTTTGTCTCTATTGGCGTGGCCAAGGTTTACAGGTAACCAAAGCTTTTGTCTCTATTGGCGTGGCCAAGGTTTACAGGTAACCAAAGCTTTTGTCTCTATTGACGTGGCCAAGGTTTACAGGTAACCAAAGCTTTTGTCTCTATTGGCGTGGCCAAGGTTTACAGGTAACCAAAGCTTTTGTCTCTATTGGCGTGGCCAAGGTTTACAGGTAACCAAAGCTTTTGTCTCTATTGACGTGGCCAAGGTTTACAGGTAACCAAAGCTTTTGTCTCTATTGACGTGGCCAAGGTTTACAGGTAACCAAAGCTTTTGTCTCTATTGACGTGGCCAAGGTATACAGGTAACCAAAGCTTTTGTCTCTATTGACGTGGCCAAGGTTTACAGGTAACCAAAGCTTTTGTCTCTATTGGCGTGGCCAAGGTTTACAGGTAACCAAAGCTTTTGTCTCTATTGACGTGGCCAAGGTTTACAGGTAACCAAAGCTTTTGTCTCTATTGGCGTGGCCAAGGTTTACAGGTAACCAAAGCTTTTGTCTCTATTGGCGTGGCCAAGGTTTACAGGTAACCAAAGCTTTTGTCTCTATTGGCGTGGCCAAGGTTTACAGGTAACCAAAGCTTTTGTCTCTATTGACGTGGCCAAGGTTTACAGGTAACCAAAGCTTTTGTCTCTATTGGCGTGGCCAAGGTTTACAGGTAACCAAAGCTTTTGTCTCTATTGGCGTGGCCAAGGTTTACAGGTAACTAAAGCTTTTGTCTCTATTGGCGTGGCCGAGGTTTACAGGTAACCCAAGCTTTTGTCTCTATTGGCGTGGCCAAGGTTTACAGGTAACCAAAGCTCTTGTCTCTATTGGCGTGGCCGAGGTTTACAGGTAACCAAAGCTTTTGTCTCTATTGGCGTGGCCAAGGTTTACAGGTAACCAAAGCTTTTGTCTCTATTGGCGTGGCCAAGGTTTACAGGTAACCAAAGCTTTTGTCTCTATTGGCGTGGCCAAGGTTTACAGGTAACCAAAGCTTTTGTCTCTATTGGCGTGGCCAAGGTTTACAGGTAACCAAAGCTTTTGTCTCTATTGGCGTGGCCAAGGTTTACAGGTAACCAAAGCTTTTGTTTCTATTGACGTGGCCAAGGTTTACAGGTAACCAAAGCTTTTGTCTCTATTGGCGTGGCCAAGGTTTACAGGTAACCAAAGCTTTTGTCTCTATTGGCGTGGCCAAGGTTTACAGGTAACCAAAGCTTTTGTCTCTATTGGCGTGGCCAAGGTTTACAGGTAACCAAAGCTTTTGTCTCTATTGGCGTGGCCAAGGTATACAGGTAACCAAAGCTTTTGTCTCTATTGACGTGGCCAAGGTTTACAGGTAACCAAAGCTTTTGTCTCTATTGGCGTGGCCAAGGTTTACAGGTAACCAAAGCTTTTGTCTCTATTGGCGTGGCCAAGGTTTACAGGTAACCAAAGCTTTTGTCTCTATTGGCGTGGCCAAGGTTTACAGGTAACCAAAGCTTTTGTCTCTATTGGCGTGGCCAAGGTTTACAGGTAACCAAAGCTTTTGTCTCTATTGGCGTGTGTTGACAGAGGTGTACAGGGTCAAGTCTAAGCTCTATTGCAAACATACAACTGTTATTTTTTTCTAGTCTGATGACCCAGCTATACCAACTAGGTCAAAGGTTAAGGTCACAGATGATGAAATCAAATCAGCAGCGGTGACATTAATGGATGCCCCAACCTTAGAGAACATCAGCCTGAGGCTAACAGAGATGCAGGTCAGTGGAGGGGAACCATTAGCACAGGTGGGTGGAGGGGAACCATTAGCACAGGTGGGTGGAGGGGAACCATTAGCACAGGTGGGTGGAGGGGAACCATTAGCACAGGTGGGTGGAGGGGAACCATTAGCACAGGTGGGTGGAGGGGAACCATTAGCACAGGTGGGTGGAGGGGAACCATTAGCACAGGTGGGTGGAGGGGAACCATTAGCACAGGTGGGTGGAGGGGAACCATTAGCACAGGTGGGTGGAGGGGAACCATTAGCCCAGGTGGGTGGAGGGGAACCATTAGCACAGGTGGGTGGAGGGGAACCATTAGCACAGGTGGGTGGAGGGGAACCATTAGCACAGGTGGGTGGAGGGGAACCATTAGCACAGGTGGGTGGAGGGGAACCATTAGCACAGGTGGGTGGAGGGGAACCATTAGCACAGGTGGGTGGAGGGGAACCATTAGCACAGGTGGGTGGAGGGGAACCATTAGCACAGGTGGGTGGAGGGGAACCATTAGCACAGGTGGGTGGAGGGGAACCATTAGCACAGGTGGGTGGAGGGGAACCATTAGCACAGGTGGGTGGAGGGGAACCATTAGCACAGGTGGGTGGAGGGGAACCATTAGCACAGGTGGGTGGAGGGGAACCATTAGCACAGGTGGGTGGAGGGGAACCATTAGCACAGGTGGGTGGAGGGGAACCATTAGCACAGGTGGGTGGAGGGGAACCATTAGCACAGGTGGGTGGAGGGGAACCATTAGCACAGGTGGGTGGAGGGGAACCATTAGCACAGGTGGGTGGAGGGGAACCATTAGCACAGGTGGGTGGAGGGGAACCATTAATTACAGTGCCTTTACTTTCCTTAATATAAGTCAGACACCCATCATGGCTGGGTAGACTAGAGTCAGGCACCCATCATGGCTGGGTAGACTAGAGTCAGGCACCCATCATGGCTGGGTGGACTAGAGTCAGACACCCATCATAGCTGGGTGGACTAGAGTCAGACACCCATCATGGCTGGGTGGACTCTGTACGTGCTCCACTCAGGGACCTGAACTCAGAACTTTCTAGTTAGCAGAATAATGCCCTAGCATTTGACCACACCATCTCATGCTATGCTCAGTAAAGACTGATAGAGAACTGATAGATGGGTGGATTTCATCCTTGACATGAGGGTCTCATGCTTGACATTTGTGGTGTGTTGCATTTGACATTTGAGTATCCTAAACAAAACAGCTACCCATGTTTGTTGACTATAAATAACAAATTTGTGTATAACCTTGATGACATTTTGTACACAGCGTGAAGAACAGGAGATAAGAAAGCGCTGGTCAACTCTCAAGTTTATCAAGCCCAGAGCCAAGATGTCCAGTAAGTTCAAAGCTGATTGTTTTAAATGAATGATAGAACCAGTCACTTTGATTCTCCCTCAATCTCATTAACCCTTGGCTTCCTTTAAATTTAAGATGAACCTCCACACCAGCCCCCTGCCATTGAGGTAGCTCGACTTCCCCAACCTACTGTCAGGTAACAAACAATTTTGTCTTAGTGACATTGTCAGTGTTGTCATCATCTCACTAAACCAGTCCAAAAGTTTTCTTCATGTGACCAAACTTTCTGACCAGCGAGGTCCCAAACTGGCCAGTAGAACCAGTTATCTTCACCAACTGCCTGGCCAAGCCTGTGATGAGACAGGTCCACACAATCAGGACAGAGCCTGTACACAAAAAACAACTGGTCAGCCTGAAGCAGACCAGCGTGGAGAGGATCATGCAGAGTCGCAGCACGTTCCAAACTTTCCTGAGGAAAAGGTCCCATCACCCAACTGGTCGCTTTGACCCGTGGAAACTTGTTGAACAGTGAGTGTCGTGTGTCGTCGTCCCCCCCACACACACACACACCAAGACTGAGTTCTTAAACACAAACATTAAATACTAATCACAAACCTATTTCAACCATTACTACCCAAAAATTTAAACTATTTACTGGTAGTTCCTTGTTGACCAAGCTTTTTACCACACATTTTTCAACAGTACTTACATCATTAGTATATATAACTTATATACTTATATCATTAACATATAAAATATTCATATACACAAAAAACTTAAAGCAAAAAGTAATACCATGAAAATAAGATTTACAAATAATAAATCTAAACACCACATAAGAACATTTTTTAAAAACCCAATTTACTTTAATGAGGAAAAAAGTATTTCAGTTTGAACTGATTTATTCAGTATACCTTTTACATTGATATCATCGTAAATTATTTCTTGAAACATGCTTAACTTTTTAAAAAACTAAAAAAATTATCTGCTAGTAACTTTTCACTTCATAGTTTATATAATAAAAAGGGCTCGTAATGTAATAAGCTCTGTACCATTAAAAAGTTAATTTTAAGCCCTCTAATTCAACGTAAGTTTTATAGTTGTTGACATTATACAATATATCTCATTTACTGATTTAAAAAATTTCACGGCGTTTGAACAACAGATTTTGACACTTCTCACATTCAACTCGTGGACATTTTTTAACCATTCAACAAATTTCTTTACAAATACCTGTGAAATAGCCTTTAGAGGGATACTAAACCAAAAAAAATGCATAATAGACTAAATATTTTAAACAACGAAGCAATTCAATAATTAGCATGTGATTCTGACATCGTATAAATTTTTTATTTGCATATTCAGAAAGGTGGTCCTTTTTTCTGTTAGAACACTGTTAATCATCTCTACTTCAGCTGGCAGTTGATTTGTCCATTGCAATAGAACATCATTTCTGATGGTTTTAGGGCAGCAAATTCGCAGGATCTTTCTGAGGCATGAGTTAATAAACGTCATCAATAATTTTTTTAGTACTTGACTGTTTTAAAAAATTAGTCTGACACCCCTAATAATACTTATATATGAAATGACATCAAATTAACTGAAATAGTACTCAAGTTATTGTGTTCACAGACAGACAGAAAAAATAGCAAAACTAAGTTGTTCCAACTCATGGAGGTGTAAAATGTCGAGATTTTTCAAAATCTAAATTTTGATTTCAATACTTCCTCGATACTCTGTATATAAGAAAGTAAATATAGCATTTTATGAAATAAAATCAACCTTCCATTCAAAAATTGAAAACTTATGTAAAATAGACAAAATATATAATACAGTTGACCAAAATGTAAACATTGCCTCACCCTATGAATGTAGAAGCACTTCCTTCTAGAGCTTATGAGTGCACTATTGGCAAACAAGGGCAGCAAAGTGGTTTGAAGTTCACTGCCAACAGACAGGCTGCCACCAAGACAGGCTGCCACCAGACAGGCTGCCACCAAGACAGGCTGCCACCAAGACTAACTGCCACCAAGACTAACTGCCACCAGACAGGCTGCCACCAAGACAGGCTGCCACCAAGACAGGCTGCCACCAGACAGGCTGCCACCAAGACAGGCTGCCACCAAGACTAACTGCCACCAGACAGGCTGCCACCAAGACAGGCTGCCACCAGACAGGCTGCCACCAGACAGGCTGCCACAAGACAGGCTGCCACCAAGACTAACTGCCACCAAGACAGGCTGCCACCAGACAGGCTGCCACCAAGACTAACTGCCACCAGACAGGCTGCCACCAAGACAGGCTGCCACCAAGACTAACTGCCACCAGACAGGCTGCCACCAAGACTAACTGCCACCAAGACTAACTGCCACCAAGACAGGCTGCCACCAGACAGGCTGCCACCAAGACTAACTGCCACCAGACAGGCTGCCACCAAGACAGGCTGCCACCAGACAGGCTGCCACCAAGACAGGCTGCCACCAAGACTAACTGCCACCAAGACAGGCTGCCACCAAGACAGGCTGCCACCAGACAGGCTGCCACCAAGACTAACTGCCACCAAGACAGGCTGCCACCAAGACAGGCTGCCACCAAGACTAACTGCCACCAGACAGGCTGCCACCAAGACAGGCTGCCACCAAGACTAACTGCCACCAGACAGGCTGCCACCAGACAGGCTGCCACCAAGACTAACTGCCACCAGACAGGCTGCCACCAAGACAGGCTGCCACCAAGACTAACTGCCACCAGACAGGCTGCCACCAAGACAGGCTGCCACCAAGACAGGCTGCCACCAGACAGGCTGCCACCAAGACTAACTGCCACCAAGACAGGCTGCCACCAAGACAGGCTGCCACCAAGACTAACTGCCACCAGACAGGCTGCCACCAAGACAGGCTGCCACCAAGACTAACTGCCACCAGACAGGCTGCCACCAGACAGGCTGCCACCAAGACTAACTGCCACCAAGACAGGCTGCCACCAAGACAGGCTGCCACCAGACAGGCTGCCACCAGACAGGCTGCCACCAGACAGGCTGCCACCAAGACTAACTGCCACCAGACAGGCTGCCACCAAGACTAACTGCCACCAGACAGGCTGCCACCAAGACAGGCTGCCACCAAGACTAACTGCCACCAAGACAGGCTGCCACCAAGACAGGCTGCCACCAGACAGGCTGCCACCAGACAGGCTGCCACCAGACAGGCTGCCACCAAGACTAACTGCCACCAGACAGGCTGCCACCAAGACTAACTGCCACCAGACAGGCTGCCACCAGACAGGCTGCCACCAAGACAGGCTGCCACCAAGACTAACTGCCACATAAGAAAGACTAACTGCCACTTAGACTAACTGCTTTGTTTATGTTCCAGAGTTGCTGATGAGATCCTCCAGGAATGTCTACAAGATGTGGCCAGCGAGGTGGAGAGTGTCAATGAAGACATCGCTAGTCACATGTTCCAGACAGAGTTCAAGGTGGACCCGAACCAGTTTCCAGGTCATGGTCAGCAGGTAGGGGTCAAAGATCACACAGTAACGTTTGCGACTGACATGCAGGATGTCAGATGGAACTCTCTAGGGGACCTGGGGGTGGAGCCAACACTGATGGGGGTGGAGCCAACTCTAATGAGGCTGGTCCCCTCCTCTTCCAGAGATTCCTCCCCTGAGCCAGGTGTGTCTCACAGACAAGACTCTCCATCAGCATGCCAGCAATCTTCTGCTGACCACAGTAGGAGTGAGGGCAAGAGTGACCACAGTAGGAGTGACCACAGTAGGAGTGAGGGCAAGAGTGACCACAGTAGGAGTGAGGGCAAGAGTGACCACAGTAGGAGTGAGGGCAAGAGTGACCACAGTAGGAGTGACCACAGTAGGAGTGAGGGCAAGAGTGACCACAGTAGGAGTGAGGGCAAGAGTGACCACAGTAGGAGTGAGGGCAAGAGTGACCACAGTAGGAGTGAGGGCAAGAGTGACCACAGTAGGAGTGAGGGCAAGAGTGACCACAGTAGGAGTGAGGGCAAGAGTGACCACAGTAGGAGTGAGGGCAAGAGTGACCACAGTAGGAGTGAGGGCAAGAGTGACCACAGTAGGAGTGAGGGCAAGAGTGACCACAGTAGGAGTGAGGGCAAGAGTGACCACAGTAGGAGTGACCACAGTAGGAGTGAGGGCAAGAGTGACCACAGTAGGAGTGAGGGCAAGAGTGACCACAGTAGGAGTGAGGGCAAGAGTGACCACAGTAGGAGTGAGGGCAAGAGTGACCACAGTAGGAGTGAGGGCAAGAGTGACCACAGTAGGAGTGAGGCAAGTTACCCCCTGGCGAGTCAAGTAAAAGAGAACAGTGATGACAGCTTTGAGAGAGGGAGCAAAGATGAAGAGAAATATTCAGATGATGGTTTTGAAGAAACTGACGATGATTCTGCTAATTAGTGACATTAATAAAATGGGGACTTTTATTCAGATATGTAACTTTGTATTTTCTCTTGAAATAAATTCTCCTGCAAGTGCTGACATGATCACATAACTGGAGTAAGTTTTTGATTTGATCTTTAGGTCACCACAGTCTTGGCATTTGTTTGTCTATAAAATGTGTTAGTTACATCTAGATTTAAAGTTTGATGGTGAAAGTGTCTGCAGAAAAAAATGCCTGCCCTGATCTATTCTTGTATTGATCAGCTGGGACAGTCAACTGGGTCGAACAGATTTTAACTGACCTCCTTAGTGCAAGTTTTTAAGTCATCATTTATCCAGCAGTTCTTGGCTGAAAATAGCAACATCAGAGATGGCAATTTTTTTTTGTATGATTTGGATTGTTTGGATAATTAAAACCTATAATTGTTTGCAGCCAGGCCACTTAACACAATGGGACAAGACAAATTACATTCCTGAACATACAGACTGATTCATCTTAATTTGGAATGTGATCATTTTGATGCACAACTTTTTATTTCCACATTAAATGTTTTTTTTTAAAATGTATAACTTTTTATACAACTAATCTGATAATCTAATTATATCATTTTTATAAAGTGGTTGAGCTTTTATAAAATGACTGAATGCTAAACTAGAATTAAACATGTATGTGTCTAACTTATAGATGTAGCCACTACTTTAAATTGCTATCTAAATGGAAATCATTATACTGCAGGAAAAGAATTATTTTTGCTATCAGAAACAGTAGCCCTTAAAACATTTATGCTCTCTGAAAATTATTTGACCAGCATGCGTCTACAGTACAGTGATCTGTGTCCGAGGCTTATATTTGCTGGCAGTGCAAACAAGATAAAAGGTTAGGAAAATTGTATAGGAACTGATGACAGTAGATTACATCTCATTAAGTCGATCTGTTTGAAGTTTATTTTAGGAATTAATTGTCAAGCGTAGTGCATTTATATATCAGTTTGGTTTCATAAACAAACGTAAGAGTTCATGGGCATAGCTTATATTAAAATAAATTAACATGTAAAATGGATATAATTTCTATAATTTAAAAGAAACGTTTAAAAGAGATATTGTGTATTAAATTGCAAACAGATTTATTGTATAATATTAATTAGTTTATATTTTATTTTGTAAGATGTAATGAAATGTGTATGGAGCTGGAGAAATTATTTTCTTAGTTTCGCTGACCCTGAATCCTTTTATTAAATTAAATTTAACATGGATTAGAAAATCTGTTGTTCTGTTTTTGTGATGAGTGTTCTGTATTTGTTGTGTGTGTTGTTATTTTGATTAAATTTATGCTCTGTCCTCTTCTGTATATTTCAAAATGAACTTTTTTTTTTACAACGCAGTAAACCAGGATTGTTGTGAGTACATACATATAAACACACACATATATAAACATATATTAATACATTTATATATATATATATATATTTAACTTGAGCCTTATCTGGATTTGCTGCTCTCTCTTACCCGAAACAAAAACCTGCTTGTGTCGCCGGGGTAAGGGCCCCCAGACTGTTAATGCCAGGGTAAGGGCCCCCAGACTGTTAATGCCAGGGTAAGGGCCCCCAGACTGTTAATGCCAGGGTAAGGGCCCCCAGACTCTTAATGCCAGGGTAAGGGCCCCCAGACTCTTAATGCCAGGGTAAGGGCCCCCAGACTGTTAATGCCAGGGTAAGGGCCCCCAGACTGTTAATGCCAGGGTAAGGGCCCCCAGACTGTTAATGCCAGGGTAAGGGCCCCCAGACTGTTAATGCCAGGGTAAGGGCCCCCAGACTGTTAATGCCAGGGTAAGGGCCCCCAGACTGTTAATGCCAGGGTAAGGGCCCCCAGACTGTTAATGCCAGGGTAAGGGCCCCCAGACTGTTAATGCCAGGGTAAGGGCCCCCAGACTTAATGCCAGGGTAAGGGCCCCCAGACTGTTAATGCCAGGGTAAGGGCCCCCAGACTGTTAATGCCAGGGTAAGGGCCCCCAGACTGTTAATGCCAGGGTAAGGGCCCCCAGACTTAATGCCAGGGTAAGGGCCCCCAGACTTAATGCCAGGGTAAGGGCCCCCAGACTGTTAATGCCAGGGTAAGGGCCCCCAGACTGTTAATGCCAGGGTAAGGGCCCCCAGACTTAATGCCAGGGTAAGGGCCCCCAGACTTAATGCCAGGGTAAGGGCCCCCAGACTGTTAATGCCAGGGTAAGGGCCCCCAGACTCTTAATGCCAGGGTAAGGGCCCCCAGACTGTTAATGCCAGGGTAAGGGCCCCCAGACTGTTAATGCCAGGGTAAGGGCCCCCAGACTCTTAATGCCAGGGTAAGGGCCCCCAGACTCTTAATGCCAGGGTAAGGGCCCCCAGACTCTTAATGCCAGGGTAAGGGCCCCCAGACTGTTAATGCCAGGGTAAGGGCCCCCAGACTTAATGCCAGGGTAAGGGCCCCCAGACTGTTAATGCCAGGGTAAGGGCCCCCAGACTTAATGCCAGGGTAAGGGCCCCCAGACTTAATGCCAGGGTAAGGGCCCCCAGACTGTTAATGCCAGGGTAAGGGCCCCCAGACTGTTAATGCCAGGGTAAGGGCCCCCAGACTTAATGCCAGGGTAAGGGCCCCCAGACTTAATGCCAGGGTAAGGGCCCCCAGACTGTTAATGCCAGGGTAAGGGCCCCCAGACTCTTAATGCCAGGGTAAGGGCCCCCAGACTGTTAATGCCAGGGTAAGGGCCCCCAGACTGTTAATGCCAGGGTAAGGGCCCCCAGACTGTTAATGCCAGGGTAAGGGCCCCCAGACTCTTAATGCCAGGGTAAGGGCCCCCAGACTCTTAATGCCAGGGTAAGGGCCCCCAGACTCTTAATGCCAGGGTAAGGGCCCCCAGACTCTTAATGCCAGGGTAAGGGCCCCAGACTCTTAATGCCAGGGTAAGGGCCCCCAGACTTAATGCCAGGGTAAGGGCCCCCAGACTCTTAATGCCAGGGTAAGGGCCCCCAGACTGTTAATGCCAGGGTAAGGGCCCCCAGACTGTTAATGCCAGGGTAAGGGCCCCCAGACTGTTAATGCCAGGGTAAGGGCCCCCAGACTTAATGCCAGGGTAAGGGCCCCAGACTTAATGCCAGGGTAAGGGCCCCCAGACTTAATGCCAGGGTAAGGGCCCCCAGACTGTTAATGCCCACAGGCTCCTAGCTCATCCATTATGCCACTTACTAAAGACAGAGGCGGTCGACCCTAAGGGGTGCTATAAGAGTTTTAAAAAAAAAAAAGCTCATTATGAGTTGCATTATTCACAATCAAACTTCAAGAAATAGTTGATTTTCTAGGCTAATTGAACTAGTTTTGATACCAAAATAAAAACTGATATGGGACAGTGACTAGCAAAATATAAATGGAAGGGAATGCAAAAATGATGGTTCATCCCAGGTGAGAGAACGGGTCGTGATTTTGAGTGGGACTTGTACAATGTTAGCAGCCACTGGAGAAATGGTCTTTAATTTGTAAAACAATTTTTAAAAGGCTTTTACTTATATCAGAAATTTTTTGGCAATTCTTAATAATGTACATACTTTGTGTTGTTTTTTTATTTCTTTTTTATTTATTTATCAATAGGTGAAAAAAGCGAATTTATGCAATTGATTATGAAATAGGCGTTACTTATTTTTGAGGTTTGAAAAAATGGGTTTGTTCTCTGTGTGTTTGAGTTTAGTTCAAAAGATTGAGTTTGTGTGAAATACTTTTGCAGATATTACTCCTCAAACATGGTACTCTTAAGGTTGTCGAAAAAAAAGTTTAAATTTTACAACATAACTTTTATATTAGCCTACTTGAGACTTGTATGAACAAATTTGGTATCCACCATCTTAAAATTTAAAATCTGTTCTTGACATAGATCTAGCAACTTTCAAAGAAGTGCTAAGACAATTGAAAAAATTGAGTTAACCAATGAATAGCAATACATGTATACCCTGATGAATTATTTTCTTCTTTTTTTTAAATCAAAGTATTAAGTCGATGTTTAATTTTCTGAAAACAAATGGCACTCTATTCTTTACATTCGGTTCATTCTCTATGAGGTTGCCATCACAGGTCTGACAACACTATTGGTAACACCCCCACTAAAAGCAAACGATCAAATGAACATTGTGAACCAAACAAAAGCTTGTAAAGATGGACTAAACTAATTGGCATTCACTCCAAACTACCCTTTATAATTATACTCAGATCAGGCACATTTGCATCGGATCCTATTTATCTTTTTAAAATGGATAATGCCTCTGAAGGGGAATAAAATTGTCGTTAAGTTAAGCATTAGGGAATGAAAATCATATAAACTTATAAATGCTTTTATATGCGACCTATCAGTGGCGGAACTAGAAAAAAAGGACCACCCCGCAAAATTTGTGTTTAGGCCTCCCCCATATATATATATATATATATATATATATATATATATATATTTATATATATATTTATATTTATATATTTATATATTTATATAAATATCTATATATAAACACAAAATACGAACATAGGATACTCATTGCTGGCCTGTTCGGCTTTGGAAAAAAAAATTTCAGTTAAAACAAATTACAACGTCATTTGTGTAAGTGCATTAGTTTGTTTTGTGAAATTCTATATATATAATTCTCTTCTCTTCTAGGATACCCTAGAAAACACCAAGCTGTAAGCGTGCCTAGCAGCCCCCTCTCTTCCTCTCTAGGCATATCCCTACCACCCCCACCCCCACATGGTCTGGTGAGCTGTGGTTCACGCTAAATGTTTACAAGCAGAGCCGGGTTTAGTGACGACTATTAGGGGCAGATAATTTAGTTTCATGGGGGGTGGGGGTGTATGGTAGGGGTTGGGGGAAAGGAGGGTGGGGATAGTATCGTCCTTAACGACCTACTGACAGTGTTTTAAAGCAAATATTTTCAGTGGCAGCACTGGTACTGTCGTATTCACAAATTATGAATTACTGAAAAGTAGAAAATAAAACAACTAAATAGCGGCATATAATATGCAGCGGGTCAGCTCGTCAGTTTTATTTTATCTCTGCTATACAACCTCTTAACCTCTAGTCGGTCAAAAAAATATAAAAACATGAAAGCTTTGTGTCTCGTGTTATGTTTATTTGTCTTTTTGTATTTATATTATTAATTTTAAATAGGGCCTACATTTCCTTTTTATACAATGTCATTCTTTAGTAAGTACTTTAAAAAAAAAATAATTAAGAGAAGTAATTGATTTTTAATTTGTTTAGTACAAATCTATTAAAATGAGCTTATGAGCACCCTTATTTGACTATTTAAATAAAGGAATATAAGTCATGGAAGTGGTTTGAACGTTTGCTTATCTTTGATAAGTTTGATTGCAGGAGAAAGAGGACTTGGCTCTCAAGGTGGTTTAAAAACACAGGGAAAAAGAATATACAAAAGCGTGGGATGGTGTCTATAGAATAAAGATAATCCAACCTCAGCTACTGTAATCTTTTTACAAAACAACCATCAATTCAAAAATGCAAGAAAAATATTTTTTTTTTTTTAACTATAAAAAAATTATTATGGTCGGCTTTGGGTCCCTAAATGGCGTCCCCCCCCCCCCCCCCCGCATTGCGGAGTATGGCGGCACTGTAGTTCCACCCCTGATATATATATATATATATATATATATATATATATATATATATATATATATATATATATATATATGCCTATATAATTATATAAAGATAGAGATACATAATCTAAATATATGTAAGCTGTAGGCCTAAGCTTTTGGGAGTGGTTGGTTACTGCCCCATCCCCCTCGAAGAGATGCATGAAAGAAACTCTGCACCATTCTAGCGACATCTCGGATCGCGCTGTAAAATCCTTTCAAACCGTTCAAACAAACGTGGCAATCGCTGACTACCCGTGTCCAATCAATGCACAACGCGTAAAAAACAATCGCAACAGCCGGACCGAATTTCTACACAGTACACAGTACACACACAGCCTACACTCTGAGACACATAACATAACGATTGAGCAAGAATGAAAAATAAATGCTAGGTCTAGTCTGGTATAAACAGTAGGCATACATGAGTATTCATAGAGCAGGAAGGCGTCAAATGGTTTGTCTTGAGGGACTTGTTCAACCATTTGGTCGTCTGAAGTTCCAGCGAAGTCACGTGGTCTCAATCGAAACGAGGCTGAGAGCCGGCACGTGCTACTTCAGTTTTTTTTCTCCTCATAGGCCTAATAATAAACTAATATTAGAAAAGCAATCAACGTATAGGCCTATAGCGGTAGGGTCGCAGTGAGACGGGGGGGGGGGGGGGGGTAGACGCAAAGGAGAGGGGCAATAAAAAGATGACGATATTGGAAAAAAGGTAATGGCGATATTCAAAAGGCTAGCATCGGGTTGATAGTATCGAACCGGCAACAGCTGCAGACCTAGTCAACTTACTAAACGTAGCCAGTTCAGAGCTGCAACAGGTTTCAAACTAAGATTGTTCAATCTCACACACAATCATTGGTCAAGGCAGATCAATGGCGAGCCAGTTAAGAGTGGATGGCTGGGCAGTTGAAGGAGTTCTGCGCCTCCCCCCCCCCGCCCCCCCCCCCCCCCCCCACACACACTATAGCCTACCCCTTTGGTTGTGTACTGTACTTGAGTTGTCTTAAAATAAATTAGAAAAGTTGGTTGACCTAAAAGATGATAATTCTATATCAGCGCTGGCTGCATTCTTTTTAAAATATCCGTTTAGCCGTAGAATCAAAGGGTTACATGTCATTGACAGCATTTTCAAAACAAATTCAATACATTACACACACACACAAACACACACATACACACACACACACATATATATATATATATATATATATATATATATATATAGGTATATATGTCCTTTATGCATTACTACACTTTTCATCGAATTGCGATGAAACTTTGGGGGGGGGGGGGGAGGGAGGGAATACACATGGGCCAGGAAGATACGGTGACATTGGCAGTAGCTAAACAACTACGTGGACTAACCAAGGTGGACAGGGCTCTCAAGGTCCATGGGCCCTGAGCTTTTGAATAAATCGAGTATCGTATTTACAGTAGTACATAAGCGATATACTCACTTATTAAACAATAATTAGAAAATCGTTTGTGTTGAGTGTTGTATGCCGTTATCAGTTTCGGGTTTTTGTATTTCTTTTGTGTGATGTGTTATTCTGTGATTTGCTCTGTGTCCTGTTCACTTTGTTCTTCATAAAGTACAATTAACGTTGCAACAAAGCAACTATATATATATATATATATATATATATATATATATATATATATATATATATATATATATATATATATATATATATATATATATATATATATATATATACAACTATATAGGCCTATACATACAACTATATATATATATATATATATATATATATATATATATATATATATATATATATATATATATATATATATATATATATATATATATATATATATATATATATATGTTACGGTCAAAGCCCGAACTGCGGCCAAAGCGCGGATTGGCCGGCCAATCCGCGCATTGCCGGCTCTCTTGGCCAAAGCCCGAAGAACTTAGCACTAAGATCGTATTTCGTACATTGGCCGGCCAATGCGCGCACTGGCCGGGACGTACTGGCCAAAGTCCGAAGCGCTTAAACTTGACAGCGTATTTTGTACATTGGCCGGTGCCAAGATACTTAAAACATCAAATACAAAATTTAAAGATGGTGAAGTAGGTGACAATGTACGCATCCGTTTTCCAGATGTTGACAGAGGTCACGGTGATCCCCGAAGCGTGATTGCAGTTGTCATGAGCGTCGAAGGCGGTTTCTACAAATTAGGAACGGAACATGGTGTTCTAAAACAACTGTGTGCTAGAAGTGAGTTTTCAATTCTTCACAAAAAAACTTCTCTTATTGTCGTCAGTTGGCACTGAGGAAAAATCACTACGAACCATCGCATCTTCACAATCATTGACTGGGGGCCAAGGCTACACTCGCTGCAATTGCACAACTAAGTGCACAACAAATCGCTGCAAGTGTAAAAATAACAAGCTGCTATGTAATTCTAAATGCCATAAAAGTTCAACTTGTTGTAACAAATGATGATATTGATAGATTGAGACTATACTACAATAAAAATTTGAATGTTTCTGTCATTTACTTTAATTATTAATCAATAAAGACTTAATTTCATGATCATTACGGCATAAAAAAAACAAAATCTGCTCATGATATTCTAATTCGGACTTTGGCCGGTCGTCCCTAGCCAGATGATCTTCTAGTTAAGACTTTGGCCGGTCCACCATGGCCAGTCCGCGGACTGGCCGGCCAAAGGCCGAAATCAAGCAAAGTTTCGGACTTTGACCGACCTATGGGAGGCGATATTGGCCAATGCGCGGATTGGCCGGCCAATCCTAGCATTGGCCGACTTCGGGCTTTGACCTTCACATATATATATATATATATATATATATATATATATATATATATATATATATATATATATATATATATATATATATATATATAACTATATATATATATATATATATATATAAAACTATATATAAAACTATATATATAACTATATATATATATAAAACTATAAATATATAACTATATATATAACTATATATATATATATATATATATATATATATATATATATATATATATATATATATATAAAACTATAAATATAGAACTATATATATAACAATATATAACTACATATATAACTATATATATAACTATATATATAACTATATATATATAACTATATATATAACTGTATATATATAACTGTATATATATAGTTATATATATAGTTAGGCCTATATAATGTGTCGCGGTGCCCTATTGTGTCCCAATGTATCCTGTACATCAGTGGCTTGAAGGAAAACCTCTGCTCACTACACGGGTCAATCAATACCTGTCCCCCCCCCCCCCCCGGGGCATCTGCAGCTCACCTGATATAACTAACAACTCCCGCCAAACAAATTTAGCCTCGAACTGGTTAGACCGCGAAACTTGCAGCAGACGTATATTTATTTATACGAATTATGATTAGTCCGTTCGGCCCCAACCCCCCCACCCCACCCGCCCCTACACCCTCACCCACGTGTGTTTGTATAGGCCATTTAATTCTCTGCTCATTACAACCTTGTTCAATACATGATTGAACATTCGCCTCGACATGAGCGGCTTGTTCAGACCTCATTCTTGCCGCTAGGACATGTCACCTGTAGGACATGTCACCTGTAGGACATGTCACCTGTAGGACATGTCACCTGTAGGACATGTCACCTGTAGGACATGTCACCTGTAGGACATGTCACCTGTAGGACATGTCACCTGTAGGATAAGTCACCTGTAGGACATGTCACCTGTAGGACATGTCACCTGTAGGACATGTCACCTGTAGGACAAGTCACCTGTAGGACATGTCACCTGTAGGACATGTCACCTGTAGGACATGTCACCTGTAGGACATGTCACCTGTAGTTGACCGATGGCCAGCCCTGCCCATGACCCATGACACAGTAAGTAACTATTTTTGTTTGGTAGTTCATGCTAGCAGTATTGCTGGTAGTTCATGCTTGCCCACTACCACACCACACCACAAGCTACCACACCACACACGACCACACACTGCAACACCACAAACGACCTCACCACTCACTACAAACTACCACCCCACAATCGACCACACCACAAACTACCTAACACTCACTGAAAACTACCACACCATACAATACCACACCACAAACTACCTCACCACTCACCACAAAATACGACACCACACACTACAACATCACACTACACACCACCACACAACACACTACCACGCCACACACTACCACACCACAAACTACCTCACCACTCACTACAAACTACCACATCACAAACGACCACACCACAAACTATCTTACCACTCAACATAAACTGCCACACTAATACACCACACACTACCACACCGCACCACACACTACCACACCACACACCACCACACAACACACTAATACACCACACACTACCACACCACACACCACCATATAACACACTAATACACCACACACTACCACACCACACAGCACCACACACACTGCCACACCACAAACTACCTCACCACTCACTACCAACTACCACACCACACACTAGCACACCACACACTATCGCACTAGAAACTACATCACCACTCACAACAAACTACCACATCACACCACACACTACTACACCACACACTACCACACCTCACCAGTAGCACCACACAATGTAGCACCACACAATGTAGCACCACACAATGTAGCACCACACATTGTAGCACCACACCACCACACAATGTAGCACCACACAATGTAGCACCACACAATGTAGCACCACACAATGTAGCACCACACAATGTAGCACCACACAATGTAGCACCACACAATGTAGCACCACACAATGTAGCACCACACAATGTAGCACCACACAATGTAGACCCACACAATGTAGCACCACACAATGTAGCACCACACAATGTAGCACCACACAATGTAGCACCACACAATGTAGCACCACACATTGTAGCACCACACAATGTAGCACCACACAATGTAGCACCACACAATGTAGCACCACACAATGTAGCACCACGCAATGTAGCACCACACAATGTAGCACCACACAATATAGCACCACACAACCACACATTGTAGCACCACACAATATAGCACCACACAATATAGCACCAGACAACCACACATTGTAGCACCACACAATATAGCACCACACAATGTAGCACCACACATTGTAGCACCACACATTGTAGCACCACACATTGTAGCACCACACAATATAGCACCACACAATGTAGCACCATACAATATAGCACCACACAATGTAGCACCACACAATGTAGCACCACACAATGTAGCACCACACAATGTAGCACCACACAACCACACAATGTAGCACCACACAATGTAGCACCACACAATGTAGCACCACACAATGTAGCACCACACAATGTAGCACCGCACATTGTAGCACCACACAATATAGCACCACACAACCACACATTGTAGTACCACACAATGTAGTACCACACAATGTAGCACCACACAATATAGCACCACACAATGTAGCACCATACAATATAGCACCACACAATGTAGCACCACACAATGTAGCACCACACAATGTAGCACCACACAACCACACAATGTAGCACCACACAATGTAGCACCACACAATGTAGCACCACACAATGTAGCACCACACAATGTAGCACCGCACATTGTAGCACCACACAATATAGCACCACACAACCACACATTGAAGTCCACACAATGTAGCACCACACAATGTAGCACCACACAATGTAGCACCACACAATATAGCACCACACAACCACATATTGTAGAACCACACAATATAGCACCACACAATGTAGCACCACACAATATAGCACCACACAATATAGCACCGCACAATGTAGCACCACACATTGTAGCACCACACAATATAGCACCACACTTGTAGCACCACACATTGTAGCACCACACAATATAGCACCACACATTGTAGCACCACACAATATAGCACCACACAATGTAGCACCACACATTGTAGCACCACACAATATAGCACCACACAATGTAGCACCACACATTGTAGCACCACACAATATAGCACCACACAATGTAGCACCACACAATATAGCACCACACAACCACACATTGTAGCAACACACAATATAGCACCACACAATGTAGCACCACACATTGTAGCACCACACATTGTAGCACCACACAATATAGCACCACACAATGTAGCACCACACAATATAGCACCACACAATGTAGCACCACACAATGTAGCACCACACAATGTAGCACCACACAACCACACAATGTAGCACCACACAATGTAGCACCACACAATGTAGCACCACACAATGTAGCACCGCACATTGTAGCACCACACAATATAGCACCACACAACCACACATTGTAGCACCACACAATGTAGCACCACACAATGTAGCACCACACAATGTAGCACCACACAATGTAGCACCACACAATGTAGCACCACACAATGTAGCACCACACAATGTAGCACCACACAATGTAGCACCACACAATATAGCACCACACAACCACACATTGTAGCACCACACAATATAGCACCACACAATGTAGCACCACACAATATAGCACCACACAACCACACATTGTAGCACCACACAATATAGCACCACACAATGTAGCACCACACAATATAGCACCACACAATGTAGCACCACACAATATAGCACCACACAATATAGCACCGCACAATGTAGCACCACACATTGTAGCACCACACAATATAGCACCACACTTGTAGCACCACACATTGTAGCACCACACAATATAGCACCACACATTGTAGCACCACACAATATAGCACCACACAATGTAGCACCACACATTGTAGCACCACACAATATAGCACCACACAATGTAGCACCACACATTGTAGCACCACACAATATAGCACCACACAATGTAGCACCACACAATGTAGCACCACACAATGTAGCACCACACAATATAGCACCACACAATGTAGTACCGCACATTGTAGCACCACACAATATAGCACCACACAATGTAGCACCACACAATATAGCACCACACAATGTAGCACCACACAATATAGCACCACACAATATAGCACCGCACAATGTAGCACCACACATTGTAGCACCACACAATATAGCACCACACTTGTAGCACCACACATTGTAGCACCACACAATTTAGCACCACACATTGTAGCACCACACAATATAGCACCACACAATATAGCACCACACATTGTAGCACCAAACAATATAGCACCACACAATGTAGCACCACACATTGTAGCACCACACAATATAGCACCACACAATGTAGCACCACACAATGTAGCACCACACAGTGTAGCACCACACAATGTAGTACCACACAATGTAGCACCACCAGACGAACACTCGTTGCCTCCACCGAATGAAAGCCAAACAAGATCAAAAGCTCAGATCGGTGGGACTTTCGTTCGTTTGAGTTGACGAGTTATCTGCCCGTCACTTTTGAGTTGACGAGTTATCTGCCCGTCACTTTTGTCTAGGAGATGTGTAAGTACATTTGTTTCTCATGAATTTCCCACCCCTCTCCCTCACGTGGACAAAATAAAAATAATGAAACTATTAAATTTAAAATTTAAAGCTCAAATGGACTTTGGCTCTGATTGTAGATTACAAGGGAAAGCGGATGGACCAGTAACACACATACATCTAATGTATAAAGTTCAATTCTGTATGTAGGTAGCGGACAGCGGACCATTGATTACAAAGGAATATAGCGAAAAAAAAAAAGACTTGATCGCCATAGTGTGATATATCTAAAGTGCTCATCATCTAAATTAATGATATAAAAAAATTAATATTGAAGGTGTTATAAAACACATTTAATTTTTCAAACTTTTAGTGTTAATTGACGTCGTGTGCATTAAAAAAAATTAAAGAAAATGTATCATCCTTCACAAATATTCTAATTGTGTCTGAAAATTATTTACTTTTAGTTCTTTAGCCCTTATTACGTCCCTTGATAAATAAGAAACACAATTACTGCCCTTAAAAAACATTACATCGAGGGAAAATTTATACTTAACTTTCTTGTATACAGAGCATAGAGGAAGTATTGTAATCGTGCACAAAAAGCTCATGAAATTTTAACAGTTTTCATCGTGTTACACCTCAGTACTTCATCGTATACGGAGTATAGAGGGCTTATTTTAATCGAGCAAAAATTACAAATACAGATTTATAAAAAAATTTGCGTTCATGTATATGTATTATTTCAAATTTGTAGTTCTGTATCAACTTTTCAGCAATTTCCGCTTACCGGAAGTGGAATTTATTCTACTCTTTCTTTTTCAAAAACCTATATCTTGAGTACTGTTTCACATAGATAAACAACGAAATTTCATGCATAAGTAAAAGATCTAATTGTCTGCCTTCAGTCAAATTATGAGTCATTTCCGTTGACCGGAAGTAGTAATTTACGCTATTTCCGATTTCTCAAAAAATGGATTTATAAAGTACTAAAGAATTGTAAGAATTTATAAAGTAATAATTTATTCCGCACTATTATACACATATTTTTTGGCGTTTACTTGTTGCGCAGTTCTTTTTTCTACGAGATTCTGTTCTATTTTTAAAAAGTTTAAGTATGTAAAAACTGATTAAAAATCGTGTCTGTATCTCGAGTTGCCATCCCCATAGTGTTATATAAGAATATTCGAGAAAGTTTAGGGGAAATCACTATCGGTTTATTATTACTTTGTTTTGAGGTGGGGGAAAAAGTAAGTACATCATTAGCGTGGATTGATCAAGTGAAATGTGGTAAGTAAAACGCATATATTTTAAATACTTCGTTTTATTTCTTTTATACACTGAAAGTACTGTTTACTAATTACTTTTTAAAATCAATAACTGTTTAGAAGCCAGCTCCTAAATGTCCTCTATCTT